GCAGCAGTCCAACACTGTAGGGCTCAGAACGGCTAAAGGCCACTGAGTTAGTCTCAGCATGTCTCAGCCATTCGCAGCGAGAACTGCAGTTCCGAACTGTCTTACGCCGTCGCATCCGAGTGATGGTGGCACTTGCTGTGAAGGTGGACCTCGTGTTGGCCGAGGTCGTTGGAGCCTTTGCTACTCAGGAGACCCGAACAAATCTTGATCAGTCATCAATCGCCAAAACGTGGATGGCTGTCCCGCTGCCCCGTTTTGAAGCAGAACATCCTCTGCAGCTACGGCCCCATCTTCTAGACTTCCGAAAACGCATGCCGTTGGCAGTACCCCTTCAGAGCTTGTCACGCTCAACTCAGCATTTAAGTGCCTTCTTATTGCATCCTTTCTCATGCTCATCTTCGAACGAACGTCTGGCAGGTTTAGCGTTCCCCAGGAGGCAGGCACCTAGTCCCTCTTAAAATCACCAACTGTTAGGTCACTTATCACTTGTGGATTCCTGAATGCATATTTCAAATTTCATTGTCTATGAACTTCCATGTGTTTGCACGTCGGACTAGTGCGCCTGTAGCCCTGCAGAACTTGGCATTGAGTCATGCACGTAGGTCACTGATCACATAGACTTGGCCTGAGGAGAACATCGTAGCCTCTATGCGTGCGCGCCGGCTGAAGTTGAGAAGGTCCTTCATTTTTGGGCTTTGCTTAAGAATGTCGTCGCGTGCCTGGGTCTAATCTTTTTTTTGTAGTCCGAAAGCTTTAGGGCTCTTGGCGGTTCCATGGACCGAAGGATGCGCAGAGGCGGCACATGAAGGACCCCAGCAATCCTGAGAACTACATTCCTGCGGCCGTCCAGACTTGGACTGCTCCCGTCAGCTATGCGCTGCATCCCGTGCTTGCGCCGCCAAAGTGCCTTGACCTGTATATCTAAGGAGGCTGTCGCCCGCGGCACAACAAGCACAACAAGACAAACACAACAGGCACAAACACGACCCCGGCACAAGCAGCGCAAAACATCTGTGGTGCGTTCTGGTCCGCCCATGTTTAAGAGAACATGGGACCAAACAAAAGCTGAAACGAAGCGGCAAACAAAAGCACCGACTCTGTGTGTGTGTGTGTGTGTGTGTATGTGTGTGTGTGTGTGCGCGCGGACCATAGTGCGGACACTTGCGGCGGGCATGTTGCGCGCCTGTTTTCGTGCGCCGTTGCTGGCTCTGGTTTAAAAGCCCCCGCACCTTCCCAAAGAACCCGCTCCCTCCCCCAGCCCAGCTGCTGATGTGCACGCCTGGGCTCCTTGGTGCCCAGAGGGCTCCAAGGGCTCTGCAACGGTACTCAGACTGCGCCCAGCAGCCACTGAGGATAGCATGAAAAACCGCAGCAAAACGGGCCGAAAACCTATTCTTCATGCGCTTTGGGGTGCTGCGCTGCGCCGATTCTGCACGAGTTTGGTCCCCATGCCCCAAAATGATGCTCGCCCCCATGAGCCCGAGGCAAAAGGGCAGGGTGGCGGGTCCCAGCCGCTGATGCTGATGGTGTGCGGTCTTTTTGGGGTGGTTGGTACCCCCCCCCCCTCTCTGCACCCACAAAAACTGAATCAAAGATAATTAAAACGTAGGGCCAATGATGCGCGCCGGGGTTGGCTCCATGGACTTCCGTGGGGGCTGGGGGTTGGGATGCGTTGTGGGGGAGGGCCCGGGCGTTATGTTTTATGGGTGTCCGTCCAAACTCATGATGCATGCGAGCTCGGGTGCAACAGCAGCACGCTCTCTCTCGCTCTCTCTCTCTCTCTCTCTCTTTCTCTCTCCTCTCTGCGCTCTCTCTCTCTCTCTCTTCTCTCTCTCTCTCCTCTCTCTCCTCTCGACTCCACTCCCTCCTCCCTCCGTCCCTCCATCCCTCCATGCCTGGCGACGACCTCACAAAACCACGGTCTTTACGCATCTCATGAGGGGGTCAGCCGTTAGCCAGCGGTTGCTCAGGGGGGACGACATGAAAATGCAGGATTACTTTGGGCGATTTCTTTAGCGAGGCTCTTTGGCTCACATCGCATTCTTGTGGTTCGTACGGTTCTGGTGCTCTTCCCACCTCCTTCTGCAACCTCCAGGGTCTAGGGTATTAATTGGAGAAGGAGTCCTTCATTTGCCCAGGTTTGCGAAGCTTGAGGGCCAGCCGCTGACTCTGAATCCCCGAGACCGGACCTTGGAGTTGATCTCTGACCCGCAGGCGCGTTGGAGCACGTGCGAGGCTCTCCTTTAGGGGCTTGGGCCTAGCTGCGCACACACATACATAAATGAAGAAGAATAAATATCTATTAGTTACTAATAATTAGTACATATACGCATAAGTATTACCTGTTATGTTTTCTTTTTGTATTTTTAATCGCTCTCTCTCTCTCTCTCTCTTTCTTTCTCGCTTTTTAAATCTATCTTTCTACACATACACACCTACATGCATACATACATTCTAAGGCGCTACAAGCTATATATATATATATGTGTATAAATATGATGTGTTTTTGTATACATATATACACAAAAAATATATATATATATATATATATATATGTAACTTATATATATATATAGAATGTAATATAAGACATTTTTTCGAAAACCATGTTCATACCTGCATGCATGAAGATATGGTAATCTGCATGCTCTCTCGGACTCTATACATATATATTCTCAGCTCCCTGTCCGTGTTCCACTTTTTCTTGGCCTGTGTTCTTTCCACTTTCCACTTTTGCAGTCCATGAGAGAGACAGACGATAAGCTCAACTAATAAAGAGCAAGGTGGAAAGGACATAGCCCCAAAAGAGTGGAACAAGAAGTGGCACCTGGACATTGTAGAGTACATGGGCCACGAAAAAGTGGAAAGTCAGAAGTGGAAACCGAAGAATGGGGCCCCTTTAAAAAGTAACGGGCGAAACTAGCACAAGCTTCATCCACGAAATCGGGCTGTCAGGTCGTCATGCTCTCCAGAAAGATGCTTAAGGTAAAGCTTGTAAGTCTTTCCAAAAATCCGAGAGGCTTCTTATGGTTTTGGGCTGGGGAGGCTGAGACCGCGGTTTGTGGCACCCCCGGTGACTGCCCCCGAAGGTTCTGGAGGAGATCCGTTTTGGCCAGGGAGAGTTGCCCAGTGGGCGCTGGGAGCAAAAACCGCTCAATTTCAAGGTGATGGAGGACCGCCTCCGGTCAAACTATGACCAGTACTTCGAGGTGCCTCGCAAGATGAAGCGTTTGGTAAACTCGGTCTAGAAAGCTTCCGCTTGTAGGTGCTGTTACTACTGCCGACTCCTCATGGCCTTGTGGGTCTTAGCCGAGGCGCTGACGACCAAAGAGGACACAAAGGCCGATTCTGCCAGGCAAGACCCTAAACCCTAAACCCTCAACCCTCAACCCGCAACCCTAAACCCTCATCCTCCGAACTTAGGCTCTGATATGTCTTTGACCTTTTCCCCATAAACGCTTGCGAGACGGGTGCGAAAAAGAACACCCGAAACCCTAAACCCTAATCGCTAAATCGGGGCCCTTTTTGCAAACACACGGATCACGAAACCGTCACTGTTCCCTGCGGAGTGATCGGAGTGATCCCAGATGGGGTCTGCTAGGCGGGTGGCAAAGAAAACCCTAAACCCCAAACCCTAAAGAGGCCAATAAGTTAGTTCTGCGTGCATTCCCACATGACGCCTGTGGATGATAGGCCTTTGGCAAAACAGACAGCCGAAAGCTTCTCGGGCATGGCGATTTGGCCTCGCTTGATCTTGGACCCTGTCGCCAGCCCGAACTGCGCGTAGCGGGTGCGCATGCGCAAGTGCTCGGGTCTTTGCTCCGCTGTCAAGATCCATGCCTAAGGCCGGGAAGATTGTCGTGGAATCCCGCGGGTTGAAAGGCGAGCATCAAAAGAGCCACTGGCCAACGCTGCTAACCCTCATGTCACCAACGCCAGTCCCTGTGCAGCGTCTTGGATTTATTTGGCGGACTCGGTCCATGAAGCGATGGTTTGTGATCTTCACATATACTGCTCCCGCTCTGAGGCCTGGCGACATCTTAAAAATCTCAGAATCTGCCGAACTGAGCCAGGATCTTTTAACTCCTGTGAAGTATTCTTTCCAGGGGGAGCTCCTACGAAGCTGAGGAAGCGGCACTGCTGTCCAAGTGGACTCAGTGTGTGTGCCACCTCGCATCACCACAGTGGCAGATTGACAGTCCACAGAAGAATGAAATTAGAAATGGTGATTCTGCACATCAAACAGAGAGGTTTGTTGACGTAGTTTCCGATTTTCGCGATTCCGCCAGCTGCGCAAAACAAAGGTGGCTTGAGGCTCTGCAATGTATGCAGCAACTGCGGCAGCTCACGAGTGATCCAGTGATGGTCCAAGGACCTGCTGAAGATAGCTTCTATGTATGCTTACTGCCACGTGCTCAGCTCGCATGGTGTTTGTGCTCCAAGTTCAGACGACGCGCGACGCTGCGACATCTTTTGACCTTTGACAGCAGATGAGACAGTGAGACCGAGACAGGTCACAACAGTCATATACCAAGAGCTTGAGCAGGGCACCTCAGAGATGGAGTGGTTTTCATTGCTTACCCAGTGAGTCCTTAGCTTCTCTATCTCCTCTCGCTTGTCGTCGTTAGTGCAGGTCGGAGCTTGCTCATGGTGGTGTTGGCATCCTTTGATAAAGTCACCTCCATCGCGCTTTGCATCAGCTGCTGCCTCATTGCACCTGTTAGACATGCACTCTGTTGTACCTCGTGCTTTGCATGCATACTGCATCAGCATGGCCGCCCCCCATGGGTCACAGTTGTCTGATATCAAATTCATGGAAGCTCCGTACGCGCAGGCCTTTGCACTGACAAGGAGTTCATTGAGCTGAGAGAGTCGTGGGAAGGTGTGCTTGTTGTGTCCGGATCTTGGGCCTGCTAAGAGCTTTGCTTGGGGGGGGGGGGGGATGACCGGGTATGGCACACAAGTGTTGAGGCAGTCCATCGTGATCTTGTTTGTTGTCTACGTGCTTCTTTGGATCTTTACAGCCAGAGGGCGCGCCAATGCCCAGGCGCCCCACTGCATCGCCCTGTTGGCTTGACATGGCTTAACGCATGACAGTCCCGAAACAGGTGCAAGCAGACATTGACTATGTTGGTGATTTTGTCTGGTCCTCAAGCTTTGGCATTTTTCCAATCTGTCGAATCTGTATGTCTTCGGATTTGGACCGAATCAACGGATTTCGTTGCTTTGATTGTTCCCCAAGCTACCAAGCAACCCGGAGGGTCTGAGTGGGAGAGTGAAGAGTATCAGGCCCCAATCAAGGGGATGATCAGGTGCCTATAAAATGCGTGCCCCTATCATATAAGAGGTTGCGGTTGGGTTGGTGAGTGGCTGGCGAGTGGCATGTGAGGCACATGTGAGGGGATGTCTCGGGGAAGAGCAAATGAGAAGCTTGTAAGGTCAAAAAGGGCTGAGGCTTGGCTATCCTGTGTAAGCATGTTTTTGCGTCGACCCTGTCTTTGAGTAAGCTCTCGTGAGAATTCAACCCGATCCAGGGTTTGTCAGGGCCCCGTTTTTTTGTCAGCCGAACGGGCGCAGCATTCGTCAAGCAAGCTCTCGTCGCTCGAACTCCAAGACCAGGTCCGCAGAAGGCTCGAAGCAGCCAGAGGCCCGTAAGTGGCTCGCGAATGGCTCTATATAGGCTTGTAAGTGGCGCGAAGGCCCATGAGGGGCCCGTAAGTTCGCAAGTGGCCTGAGCGGCATGTAAGCGGCATGTAAGTGGCATGTAAGCGGCACGTAAGTGGCCGTAAGTGGCGCGTAAGTGGTAAGTGGCACGTAAGTGGCACGTAAGCAGCCCGCAAGTTGCCAAGGGTCCCCGTAGGAGGCCCGTGTTGAAGCCCGCACAAACCTGTGCAGGAGACCCATGCAGCATCTGCCAAAAAACACCAGAACTTAGAAGTCAGGCAGCCTGCTCTTGCGAAGCCTCTCCCTGAAAAACACCAAAGGTTACGTACTCTCCTTACCCACACGACCTGATCTTACATAGCCTCTCCCTGAAAAACACCTAAACTTACATACTCTCCTTACCCAAGGGACCCGATCTTATATGACAGGGGCACGCTTTTTATAGGCTCCAGATCTTTGCTTGGACCCAACAGTGGGACCGAATTTTTAGTCCTCTACGGCAGCTAACGCGATCTCACTTTTGACTACGTCTGTCTCGACTGAAAGAGCGGAGGAGAAGAGGAGAAGAGAACGGCTGTGCGAGCAGAGGTTTGGCCCAGCGGGGCGCCGGACGTGGCTTCGGTGACCTCAAGGCCCCCTCAACAAGCGCTCTGATCACCTTTGATTTGATGAGTGGGTTAAGGGTTTAGGGTTTAGGGTTTAGGGTCTCTTAGGCCTTTTCTTCGTCGCTGGTGGAAGGAAAAGGTCATGTGGGGCCGACTTCATGCCTTGTTGAGGTCTGGGAGGGAGGCCTTGTAATGGTTTTCTGAGTTTTTGAGGGCTTGTGTTGGTCCGTTGTTCTTAGCTCAGCTGTCTGCCCTCTCTGACTAACGTTGCCTTTCTGTTTGTTCTATTCTCAGCTTGCCGTTTTGGGCCATTGGCGAGGGGGGTCTCGGGAGATGGGAGGAGTGGAGGCAAGGGTCGGCAGGGTGAGGAGGGGCAGGACCAGGGGGGGGGGGGGAGGGCCTTATGGGCAGGCTGAGGGGGCACAGCAAGGATCGGGGCGGGGGGGGACGGGCCGCTGCAGGCGACAAGTGTTGTGCACCTCGTCCCTACTGGAGCTTTCATCTCCCATAGGTGTATGGTTGTCGAAAATTACGCATGTATGAAGTCTCATTTATCATCTTATTGTTGCAGTATTTCTGTGTGAGTCGGTTACCCAGTTGCGGGTTAGAAGGGATGCCTTCAACCTTAGCGCCCCTAGCTTCCCGGTCCCCCGCCTGCAAATGAATCAAGTTGAATAATGGCGGTAAAGGTATGCGAGGTATGCGTGTCAGCATTCTGAACGGGCAGAATGGGGGTTGTGTTCGATATCTACGAATTCTGCCCTTATCTGGTCTATCCGCGAGTTTACCAAGCAACCATGAACGAGGTCGTAGGGTGGGGCAGACTTGGCAGCCGCAATACCCTCGTACAAAATTCTTGGCCTGTACGAGTGCGAGAGAAAGCAGCCCATCGGCGCATCGTGCCAGAACCTGGTGGGAGCTGAGGCCTGAAGGGGATCGCCTGGCCCAGATCTTAGCAGTCTCAGCAGCAGCACTGAGAAATTCTACATCCATCTACTTCACCTCACCATTGGGGTGCCAGGCACCTGAGATAGCTGTGCGCTGGCAATGAGTCCAGGCTCCTCATGAAGACTGTGGGGGAAGTTGGCTCACAGGTTACACGAAGAGAGTCAAGCAACGCTAGAGGCCACGCAACAACCATCTCATCTGGCGCAGCCTCACCAAAGTAGCAGCATAGGCAACCTGCAGCTACGGCCACTCTCACTGAAGCCATTGACCGAACAGCGTGACAGCTTGCACTTGCTTCTGGAGATGCGCAGAGACGGGAGAGCGGCTCTCTGGGAAACCAGGCTGCAGATTAGCCATGAGTAGTCCACAGTAGTCCGTTGGCGAAGCAGAGCAGGTTGGCCAGGTTGCCTTTCAGACACCAGCAGGTCACCAGCAGGCTAAGGCAGAACGCCCGCCGCAAAGTCCATGGGTAAACGATGTATCTGTCCCGTTCCGACCTTTTCAACAAATCAGTCGACTGCCTGGACGGTGCGAAATCTGGTTAGAAAGCCGGAGACACCCATCTTACCCAACTCCAGCAGTACCTGAGTGCCTCCTCCTCTACACATCTTGTACCTAGCTTTGCCTGGTGCCGGCGGTCGCGCTTCGGCCGCTTAGCTGCACCCACCATCGCCAGCTCTTCCGGAGCTACGCCGCGCGGAAGCAAGATTATGAAGCTAGAAGGGAGTTCGAAGGTTGGGCGAGGGTGGGGTCGAGGTGGCAATTGCAAGACAGGCTGCAGGTCCAGGATTTGGTGTTGATGTGTCATGGGCCAGCAGTGATCTGGCTTCCCAGCCGAGCTCCAATCCGCACCTAGAAAGGACGGACTGCGGGACACCCTGGAGCACTTCCTCGGGTTTTACGGTGGCTACAGCCTCTGGCCTGACATTACCCACGAGATCTTTCTCACAAACTGTGCTTAAGTCCTGTTCTGAAATCTGGCCTCGCCTGCGGAATTGCGAGACGTGTGGTCCATTCATGAACATCTTTTTGGTTTACAGAGGCCACGGCCGACCCAAGACGGTGCCGGAGCATATCCGGCTGTTCCAGCTCAATGCCGTAGCGCTGGACTTTCTGGCAGCTTGGCTTTATCATGGGCAACTTCCTCTGCAGCAGTCATGATAGCCAGACTTTGTTGCCCCCGCAGCAGGAAATTGCGGATGCCTTCCGCATGTTTGCGCGTGGGCCTAGGTTCAGATGCATGCAGATGCTTTGCCGCTTTCATAATCTTGCCGTTGGTGGGTGGGATTGAAGAGGGGGCATGCCATGGAGTGGCTCAGGTGTTACATCCTCTGCCCGCAAGCCTGTGCAGATCCAGCCGAGCTAGAGCTGGCATTTTCGCAGGTGCAACTGGTTGAGAGGCGCTTTGATTCAAAGAGCCTTCGTGATGCTTAATGGGAACCGAGGATTCGTGGGGGCAGGTAGGTCATGGGGGCTGGGACCAGGATTCTGGCCCTCGGCAGGAAGGGTTGAGGGCCAAAGGTGGATGGGGAGGAAGCTCAAGTTCGGAGATTTTGCAGTTGGGAGATTTGCTCAGCTTTGCTTTTAATCTTGAAGCGGCACCTGGCGATCGGCACAGCAATGTCGACGAACCACGCTTCGGAGGGGCTAAGCTGTGTCTGGGGATAATTGTATAAAGCAAGTCCGTGTTATGAACCGAGAGGAACCCGAGGTTCAAGGTCCGAGCCTGGGAGGCTCAACAACCTGCAGCTCGACCTGGAGCTCCTCATCGGGGAGGATGGTGAGGGCTTCCTGGCGGCCTCGCAGAGCTTACTCCGCGAGGCCAAGAGCTATGCAGCTACTTGGCTGGCAAGCCAGCAAGAGCGTGTGGGGTTTTAGGCCTGCGTTTCTTAGGAGAGGTCGTATCTTGTCGATGTGGTTGAGGTGTATTTGCCAGAGAAGAACCTGCTGAGGCCAACTTGGTCTTGGGCGGCCCGCGGCAACCAGTCTCAGGCACATGGAGGGCCATCTGCGCATTCGGCTCTCCGCTTGGACTGATGTTGGTTCCTGAGAAACCACGTTTTGCCCGACCCGCAGGTATGGACTGGGATGAAGCGTTCGCGACATGCGTCGCTCGTGTGGCATCACGGATACTCTTCCCCGCGATGCAGGCGAGCCCCGTGACCTGAAACCTTGAATTCGGCCCACACAATGCAGCTGGTATATTGGGGCAGCCCCCCAGCAGGCGGTAGCTTGTGCGTAATGTGCGTACTTGTGGAATGGTGGGGAAAGGCCGCTGCTGCGAACGTCAGGGTTGATCCGTGCAATGTGCCATTTCATGTTCGCCTTTGTCCTGGTGTGATTCCGAGGTGCTCTCGTTGGAGCATCTTTGCTGACATGTCGGGATGGTGCAGGGTAACAGTTTGCTTGAGTCACCGCGGATATGTGCTTGAGGGTGTATGTGTGCATCGTCGCGTGGGTGCACTGCTGACAGAGACTCAGGTCCAAGAGCAACGAGAGCCACATCATTCTGTCAGGCGTAACGTTTGACGATACAGACCCGGCTTCAACATCCGGCTCCTACATCTATCCCCTTGCTGGGCCGCGCTCCACCAAAAGCCTGCCCGCGGCTCTGGGACAACTGTCCTTTCCGGTTCTCCAGTCCCTAGCCACTGGGGGAAAGGCTGTACGACTGCTCTCTGGCCCTGGCGGCAAGGAGGGTACCACTGGAAAGTTGTGTGACGCATCTCTTTCGCCCTTCATTGGGGACGGGGACACAGACACGGGATGGCCTCGAAGATGGCGACTTCCACCCTGGGGCTCGAAGTCCGTCCCTACCATCTTGCAGATGCTGGAGCAGATCGAGGCGGTGAGGATGGATCTATCACATTCCTTCATTGCTGTGCGGCCGACAGCTGATGGCGCTTGGGCGCAGAACTTTAGCTGCACAGGCACTGACATTTACTACGATCCGAGCTTGTGTCTGGAAGTTCTCGGCTATGGAGGCTACGTGTGGTCCGTCAATATCCATCCGCCCTACAAGGGAGAGCTCCGCATTGCCGGCCGTCGGCTTGGTGACGTTTCGCAAGCTGCCATCAGCAAGTTCATAGACCCCCTGCGACCTTTCGACGGCCACCACTTTGACACAGTATCCATTGAGCACCTCTTCCACCGGCTAGACATGCTGTGGCGCCAATCCACTGAACCTGCGCCCGATTTGTTCTTCCTGCATCCGGCCACCCACAACTGCCATGCTATTGAGTACCTCTTCTCCGGCGCACCCTTGCAGCCGAAGGTTCTGGTTGTTCCCATCAACCCATTGATTCCTCCACCTTTTGAAGTATTGCCTAGATATGAGGCATGGTGGCATATCATGAGGTCGGCATGGCGCAATACGCGCTTGGGCAAAGGTTGGGTGCAACATTCAGTGGATCAAGATCTTTCTGAAAGCTTCGTCGATGATGCCATGGATGACTACCTGTCTACTGCTCTTTGGATGGGGCAGTGCTCCCTTGCAGCTGTCGACAGCATGTTTGAGCGCATGCGCCGGAAGAAGTTCCGCTCCTTTGCTGGCTTAGAGTGCATGGCGGGAGTGTTCAGTTTGGGGTAGTCGAAGCCAGACATAGCAGCAGCAACAACTGCAAGATAGCTTTACCCTCCGCCAAGGGTACGCCCTCCACCACGTGTCATATGCCTATGCGGTCTACGTGCGGAAGGACATCCAGACTCATTTGACTCGGCCCCGAGCCAGTCAGCAGCGCCTCAGCTGGGCTACAGGGCCATGTCGAGGTTTTGTTTGAGTGGAAATTGCCTTGGTGGCGGTGTGGTCATGTTGTTACAGCGCGTGTTCACAGCATGATCGTATGCAAGGTCCGTAGGGTACAGCTTCTGTTTTGCGCTTCAAGCCACTTACCCGCCGCTGTACGCAATCCCTACGCGAATATGTTTCCACAATTTTGCAGATTTCTTCAGGGCAACAGTGCCTCAGCACGATGTGCACTGCCACGCATCCAAGTTTGGAAAGTCCATGTGCTTTTGCACAAGTCATTTTGCAAAGTCGAGGTCTTTGAGAACGGCATGCGGTCAGCAATACAGTCCCAATCATCATGTACATGAGCCGACAGTCATGTAAACTACAGCTGCTCGGAAAACGAGCGCAAGATCGTCAAGCTTGGTTTCGCTTGGGTCGCTCGTTGGTTCATTCCAATTTTGGTTGCGAGCTTCGGCAATTGTTAGGCACAGATGCCCGAGGCATTCCGATTCTGCCTTTGCCAGTTGGTTGAGAGGCAGGGCAGGGCTTTCACACTTTCCCTGTTGTGCGCACATGGCTAGCTACATTCGCTTTTGATGGCACACCCGCCAGCAAGAAAATAGAGGTAGTTGCAATTGAACCCGAAATCTCCCCCGGGGAAAGGGGCTAGTTTGTTCAGATTTGTCAAAGGAACAACACAGAACACATCTAGGGGGCTAATATGGGCTTATTACGGTTTAAGGGAGATGGCTCTTGCAATTCGAATGTGCGTACGGTTATTGTCACATTGCAATACTATGCTGTTAGTTTGAGGGGTCGACTTGACTGGGAGTCTTCCTCCTCACTATATGTATCTGAGGGGCAAACTTGCATGAAAGGATCCTGTAAATACATTTGCCTTCCTCTTCATTGTAGAATTTGAGGGGCAGAGTGTAAATTTAACGGTCGTTTTAACTAGCATAGGTAGCTTTTTGTTTTGTAATGCTCTTGGGCAAGGGCCCTTGACTGGGGCTTCAGAGCCTTTTATGGGAGGTAAAGTAAGGGACAGTATTATGGGACCAGTAACTGCCCTGAGAAAGGTGCTCTTAAGCAGATTGCGCTCTTCCTCCTCATTAATATGTCGAATCTGTTGAACATTTCCGAGTAAGTAGCACCCCTGAATTTGTTGAAGAAGTACTTATTTTATCACCATGATCTCGGGCAGTATGCAACAAGGAAGGATAGCAACTGGCACGCTTTTGTTGGTATAATGAAGGACAGCTACTGGAAAAATTGAAATTGGGAATGCGCCGAAAAACGCCGCGCGCACCTAGCCTCACGTTTTCATGCATTGAAATCCCCGAGAAAGAAAACCGTAAGAACTCCCAGAAATCCCAAATGTTTACATCTAAGATCCAAATTGGGCCCATAATTCCAACATTTCAAAGTTTTTTGGCATGTTGGACTGTGGGAAGTTGGCCATCTGAGATCCCAAATTTGCAGAAAAATTGGAATTCTGGAGGTATTAGCCCAGAAACTTAGAATTGACCAAACATGTTTGGAGGCTCGTTCATCGAGCTTGCTCGACTTATTCATGCTGTAACACAACATTCGAAGGGTACATGAGGGGGGCCTCTTGACGTGCGGAGCAGGTTGGCACTGTGCAACTGGCAGCCGCTACTTCTCAAAGCTGGAGCTGGTTGCGGGCCCGGCTGCTGAGCCCACACCAGCTGATGGGAGGGTTTAGGGTTTAGGGTTTAGGGTTGTTTAGGGTTTAGGGTATGGAGCAGGTTGTTGAGCAGTCGTTGTCATTGAGTCGGGCTCCGCTGTAGACGAGATTGTGAGGCCAAAAAAGGCACCAGGCTCATGCCCCGACCTTGCCCCTACCCTGCCCGCCTCAGGACATGGGTCGGCTCGCAACTTGACCCGCTTAAGATCCGCTTTAGTTCTCCGATCGTTCAGAGCACACGGTGACGTAAGAGGGTTTGCGAGGGCTTATGATCTTAGGCGGCTGGCCCTAGTTCTTTCGCCCTTGACTCGGCTTGACTTTTGCGATTATGTATTGTCAGTCACCAAGGCAGATCCTGCGGTGCCTAGAAGGGAAAAGGAGAAGATCATCTGTTACTATCTAGAGCGCGTTTTGGCTGCATGTGGAAGTTGTGCTATCTCCCAAGTGCAGCCTAAAGTGAGCTGATGTGGGAGGTCAAAGCATCCCGGTGCAGAGACGGAACTTTGACTGTCAAGCCCATCTGGCCAGTCTAGACAGATTGTCTGAAGTAGAAACCGAGAGCTGCGTACGGCCAGATCACCGCGGTTGGGGAAATGATCCGTACGTTTCCGAAACGATCCAAGACTCTGTCGGGGCCTGTGAAGCTCATTGCACAGCATCTGCTTGCAACTACTGGACATATGATCCCACAGCTCTTTATGGCCAACCACTGTGTTGGATTTGGACTGGAGGACGCCCGGCGGAGATCAAGTCCGAGCGCGGCTGGATCTCCGGAGATGCAGACTGCCGCCGTGAGGAACTCGCCCGCGAGGCACAGGCGTCAAAGAAGGCTGACAAGTCTGATGAAGAGGATTGGCAGAAATTGGACGAGGCATCTGAAGATCAAGTGCTGGTGGGAGCCATGCCCGGTCCAGGCAGTAGCCGAGAAGTCTTCAAGCAATGGGCCGTGAAACAGCTGGACGAAATTCCTGGCATGAAATATTTTTTGGAGTCCGAGCACCGTGGGCGGTGCGTGAGAGGTTTCTGCGAATGCTTCCCACCGTACCGAGGGCCATTGTGCGAGCAGGTTGATTCCAGTACAAAGGATGCCGATCGTAATTTCACTGCAGTGTTACACTACCTGACATCGGATGATGACACTGACATCGAGGACATTCAGCACAGCCTTCCGCGCCTGTGGCGTCGCTTCAATCGGCGCTTCGATTACCCCGTGGTCATCTTCAATGATGGGTTATCTGAAGTTCACCGTCAGCAAGTCGTGAATGCTTCAAAGAACAGGATTTGGTTCGCCTATGTGGACGATTATCTTGAGATTCCGAGTTTTATCTTGGATGACCCTTCGCGCAAGGCCGCCCTGGACGAGATAAAGTGGTCACTGGGATATCGGGGCATGTGTCGTTTCCGAAGTGGCACCATCTTTTTGCAGCCAGTCCTCCAGAAGTTTCAGTACGCCATGACCCTTGACACCGACGGTTACTTTCCTGCTGAGGTCAGCACGGATCCGATTGCTGCCATGCATGAAGGCGGATATGTGTACACTTGGTCGCACTTGCTGCCCGACTTGCCAGGAGCTGTTCGACACTTTTGGGAATATTCGCTCATGTACATGAAGATGAAAGGTATAGATCCGCGAGGAACACCAATTCTGAGACAATTCGTTAGAGAAGAGGACGTCCAGTGGACCTATCAGCTTTACATGAATGACATAGAGATCGTTCAGCTGGATTGGTTCAGATCCGACCCTTACCAAGACTACTTCAGGCTAGCAGCACCGCTTCCGTTCGTCATCCGTTCTCTTGTGTTTTACCTTTGCAAGCAATGTCTGAAGTTTTCCCACGGATGTCGGGAGGTACTTGGACTCCATAGGAGGCTTTTGGCTCCACCGCTGGGGCGACCATGCCATGCGGACGATTGCTGTGGGAATGTGGTTGCCGGAGGACTCTCGTGCAGGAATCAGTGGGACAGTAGTGCGAGAAGGGACTACAGACTCCGTAATATATCTGTATACTATATACTATACAGCTGGAGATGGAATGGGAGATGGCTCCAGCATCTGCTCTTCTCTCCATGTCCAAAAATCAGAGAGCCAGATGTGCACCCAAACGGGTCATACATATACAGCAAGTTGTGCCGGCATGTGCCGACGCAGACCCCAAACAGTGTACGACTTCAAAAAGCATCCCAAGAGCACTCCGAGAGCCCACACGCAAGGTGCACGGACCTAAATGTGGCCAAACGGTCATCAAGTTCGAGTCACAGTGCGCAATTGACACCATCAAGTTCCTTAGCCCCGGACGTAGGAACCCCAAAAGTGCAAACACTGTTTGGGGAAGACGAGGACAAAGTCTTCGAAATGGACGTGCCGCTTCTCACCTCAAGTCAGGCAATCTTGTTGCACAGTCGGCCTTGCCAAGGCTTTGGAGTATCGGTGCTGGCAAAGTGTCTCTGAGACATGAGGACCAGGATGGTGCACGACTGAAACCGAGGTACGGACATCAGAACTACTGCCGGTGTAGCGGGGCAGCTTGTCGGCACTAGGAGCCTCTTGGCAAGTCACTGCCGGTGGCTGAGGCTGGCCAGAGGCAAGCGTATAATGTGACGCAGTTGGCAGCCATCATTAACATCCGCCATGTTTGCACAACTGCCACAGCACAGGCACATCCACACTTGTCATGTGTGCGCGAAGAAGACGTCGGCGGCGTTCCGGCCAAGTGGTGGATATGCGCTGGGGAAGAGTCAGCAGTTGAAAGTGATGCTTGATAAAGCTGCTTCGACGGGTTTGTCGCGAACGACCAGCTGGTGGATGAGGACGATGCCGGCTCCACGGCTGCATTCGTATCATGTATCCAGTCAAGAGCCCTGCTGCATCTCTGCATCATTGGTATAAGCATGGATAGTCCTGCATAAGCTGTCTCGATACCGTATACATGGCCTCCAAGTCTCGTGTACCAGCCACTCAGCATGACACGAGCCACTGCTGTGTTGCAGAAGGAGAGGCGATGCACGACGGTGGCCATGGCAGCGGAGGACCGTGATCCAGTGAGACCCCACAGGGCAACTATCATGCGGCGCATGCTCAGAAACGCTTAGTGCGCTCGTCTTCTTCAGGGCAGGTTTGCCGGCATCGATCCTGACATGTGCCCTGCATGACCAAGCCTGGGAGGCGAAGCTCATCTGAGCGCCCGTGAGCGCGTGTGAGCGCTTGGAGCAGGAGGTGAAGGAGACCATGCGGTCAAAATTCTTTCGGCGCTGTTCGGGCGGCGATTTGCGCTGCATGCGCAAAGCTGAACGTAAGGATTGAGCATTCTTGCACCTGCATTCTGGCTGTGCAATGTTGTGCCACGAAGATCCTTCGAAACCGAAGCTGTGAAAGACACTGAAAAGCAAGGCCTCCAACCTTGCGGTGCGGATTTCCCTTGCTTACATGCAGTTGTCGCAGCCCAAGCTGTGGACCCACATGGCACGTGAGCTTGCAGCTTGCATGCTGGCTCATGACTTGATGCGTGCTTTGTCAACTTTGTTTGCCCTTCCTGAGGTTCTCAATTCCGTATTTAGTTTCAGACGTTGTGCAGTCCGGGGCTCGATTTACGCCGCGTTTGACACAGGCTCGCAGTTGAAAGCTTTGAGTCTTTGTGGCAAGGTTGTGCCACCCGCGAAAGGGTGCTATGCGATATGCGGCGAGATGGCCTCAGGAGCAGCTAATTCGCTTCTTGTGGTTGCGCTTCGTGCATGACGTTCGCCAATCGGCTGCCAGAGTGCACTGCGCCATCTCAGCCTTCAGCCTTCAGTCTGCCAGAAATGTGAGTGTAGCACAACAGACATGGGGAGCTGCCTTGCCAGTGAGAGAGAGAGAGAGAGAGAGAGAGAGCAGAGAGCAGAGAGCAGACATGGTCAAGCTTCAAAGGAAGCTAAGGGGCTCAAGCATCCGTTTGTCACTCCTGTACAGTCCTAGCAATGGCCCAGACCGGAGAGCTGTACACAATTCCATTCTCGCATTATTGCGAGCTGGCCAGGTGGTCCCTGCAAATTGCCAAGATGCTTAGGCTTGAGAATGCTTGAGAATACTGAGCGTGTTGAGGTGTGTTGAGCTTAGCGAGATAGCGTTCATGAAACGAAGGAAGTGTGAATCAACACTCGGCCCGCCTCGGCCAGGCTTTGGCTTGGCTAACGCGCTACCCCACCCTGAAAGGCCGGGCGTCTTGAAGCCCGCAACCTGGGCCGTTGCTGTTCCTACACGGTGCAGGGGCCTCCTTGGGTGGCTCCACGTAAAATTTGGGGGTTGAAGGTTGGCTGGCCTTCAAAGTGCTATCCACGCCCAGGGGCCAATCGGCGCGGGGGAGGAAGGGGGTGGTGCTGAGACGCCTTATGATACTCTTTCGCCCCAAGGGCCTCGGTGGATGGAGCTTGGGGCGCGAAACTGTTATGACACGACATCTGCATGCCGTGCACAAGGTCATAGAAAAACTCTTTTAAGGAAAACGCTGCCCGATGCTTGTACTTAAGGGCACTTGCGTGCGTAGACCAGCAGAAGGCCTTGTGATGTCAGATGGTCGGGCGCAACTCAGGAAGCCCTTCGCTGAGTACCCCTACTTGCCAGGCATCCACATGTTCTTCAGTCCAGTCGAGCGAATTCGGAAGCGGGCAGAAGAGGCTGGCACAGGAAAGGGCAGTGGGACTCCACTCTATGTGAGCGGCTCTGGTGAGGTACTTGGCGATTCTTGGCAGGTGCTGAAGCTCACAGGCCTTGGGGATGTACCTGAAGATGTGTTTAAGATTCTCAACTACGTGGTGGGCCCGTGCACTCGCAGCATCACCTATGCCGACGTCTTGAAGGATGAGCAGGACAGCACCTTGCTGGAGTTTGGAAAAATGGCCCCCGTGTCCTGGTGGCAGCATTTTCTGTGGGGCCTCGGTGGCTTTCGCCGAACAGTTGCTGGCAAAATGTGGGAGCAGATGGTGGGCGATGGAGAGCGACAAGCCAAGGCCATTCAGGACCCTGTAGGGCGCAGACGGGGTTAGGATGCCTCCCTTGGCCTTGTGACATAGTGTTGTTGTTCTTGAATCTTCGGGGTAAATTGGGCCTCATCAGGATCTTGAGGAGGCGATGGACAAACTGGAAGCCGAGCTTGCAAAGGCAGACAGCTGCTTTGGAAAGGGCGACACTCTGACGGCAAGCGCAGTGGCTTTGGCAGCGCTCTTCGCCCCAGCGGTGCTGCCGCCAGAATACACAGGTGGGCTCATGCCCGAAATCAAGCTTGAAAGCTACTCTGAAAGCCACCAGCAGCGCATCAAAGCTTGGAGAGAGCGTGCGTTGGGACGCTTCACGCTCGAGATTTACAGCAAGCACCGCATGAGCGCAGTACCCAGTGCTTCGTCATCCTAAACACTAAGTCGCTAAGTCCGAGACTTGTCCTCGAGAGATGGCCTACAGTATTCCGGGCCAGCATCGCTTCTCCTGCAAAAGCTGCAGACACTTTCAGGGGCCAATGCGCCCTTGCCGTACGAGTGACAGATGTCGCTTGGATTCCGTCGGCGGCCATTGACTTTGAATGCGATCCAAGCTTTACAAACAGTCTAGGTGGGTTTAGGGTTTAGGGTTTAGGGTTTAGGGTTTAGGGTTTAGGTGGCTTGTGCTTGTCACCCATTGCAGCTACACAGTAATGCTCATGCATGATGCCAAGTGTATTTCTGGTAGCTATGAGTTCCTGTACGATGCTCAACCAGCAAGGCTCAGTCACCGCGGCAAGATCCCTCGGATTTTTGCCCTAGGCTACGTCAACAAGGCTGGGTCAAAAGCGGCACGCTTTCGTAGTCGGCAGTCGGGAGAAGAATGGAGAGGAACCCGATGAGTCGACACTACATGACTGCACAAGAAAAACCAGCAGCCTTGCAAGGGTCCCCCGGTGGTTCCCAAATTAGTCGCTGCATGTGCTTTCTTCGCTCACCGCTATCATCATCGAATGAGCTCTTTTCTTGGACGGGTGCAGGTAATGTTCCATTTTGAGGAGACCGCTGCAGCCTCAGAAATGCCTTGCTTGCAATCGCTTGATCGGTAGGCTGCCAGGAGGCAAGACATGCATGAAGCTCCCCGTTTATACCAAATGGAACAGAATCCTCTTAAAGGGACCCGCAAGACAAGGGTGGTCCATCTTCTTTCTTGCAAGTGAGGTGGGTATCCTCACCCAGCTGCCGAATTTGGTGCTTGTAAAGCTGCCCTGCATGGCAATGAAGGCGCACAGCTTATCGGACGGGGAGGCTGTTGCGAGCTCCCCCCCTTAAGTTTTGAGGTGGTCCCTGAAAGGGTGTCAACGCATCAAGGCAATTATCAGCGACATCAAAGAAGATCAAGCACTCGAGAGAGAGTGCAAAGCGTGCAGAAGAAGAAGAAGAAGAGGAGGAAGAGGAAGAAGAAGAAGAAGAGACAGATTCTGTAGAAAATACCCACTAGAAAAACTAGTAGAGCGCTGGGAAGACCCCTTTTTTTGGGGAGGTATCCTGAAGCGCGGACCTCCTGCCTACAGGGGCTTGACCCCACTGTTCCCTGGTGTAGGCCAAGGGGAAAGAAAGATCCGGCTAATTCCCTCTCGCTCAGGCTCCACGATAGGAACCCAAAAGCAGGGTATAACATGCCCACTGTAAATTTCTTGAGCATGTTGAGCGCTGAGGGGTGCGTTGCAAGCTGGCCCCTGTGAGACCTGCCTCACAGCAAACAGGGCCTCCTAACGGATGTGGGTCGATGTGTTGTCAGCTTTGTGATATCAGCTAGCTGACCGCCTGGAGGTCTATATGTTTGTGTCGCTGAAGCACCATGGCTGCATTTTGGCTAAGCCACCCTGCTGACGCACGGTACCAGAGCTCAGGCGGAGCATCCTCGTGCTAGCAAGCGTTTTGTGGGATTTCCTGCTGTTCGTGGTGAAGGCACCTCGGCCACACACACTCCAAAAGTGCACACTTACCTAGAGTGTGGAGGTCGTTTTTGCTGACATGTTTTCGTTGCCGGAGTTGTGGATGAAGTATCCATCACCGCGTTTCCCGTGCCCATGTTGGATCTTGAGCCGCCTTGGAGTGCGTGATACTGTGTGCAGTCGTGGTGAATGAGGTTGTGCCAATGACTCAGCACTAACACCCCGTAATTCTGCGTAACGTCTTAAGACCAAACCGGGCTGTATCAGAACAATTGTTTTTCAAGCTGCTGCTTAGCTGCTGCCTGAGTTGTGGAGCTCATGTTGACGCCCATGGTTCCAGATCCCTGGCTTGCATCCGCTTTACCTGTCTTGGGCTGTTAAGAATGGCACGTCTCGACGACACAAGAATCGTGAGAAGCCAGGGCTTGTGCGGAAAGATGCCAAAAGAAAGCGTGGCCACGGCTCAGTGGGCCGTGACTCAGCTCCCGGAACTACCGATGCCGGATCCTGGACAGTTGCCTTGTGGCGGCCTGATACCTGCCGAGCAGCTTCAGCTCCAAGCGATGGAATACGAAGACATGGATGACAGCCTTAAGCAAGAGATTCGCTGGCGCTGTCTTGCTGAATGTATGGAGCCGGCGGAGGTTGTCCATGCTGTGTTGAGCAGCTTTGCCTTGCAGATGCTTGGCGATGTCAGTCTAGATCCCTTGGACGAAGGTGATCAAATTCGCTTGCGGCGACATTCTCATTCGCGAGTGATGATCAATGCCCTCATGGACGAAACTGGCAAGATCTGCCTCGTGCAGGATGGGTACGAGACACACGAGGCGCCTTTGGCACTCGCTGCTTGGCGTTTGCAGCGGCGGAATGTTGCTTGCACCTACGACACCTATGTGAACGAGGATGGCAAGGTTCTATCCTTTACCATGTGGTGCGGCAACATCTACAAGCATCGGCACGTGATAGGCGTCCTGCGCTTTTCCATGCCCAAACTCGCACCCTTCATTCAATGGCGCGGGCTCCTGGCCGAGCGCTTCATACAGCGAGCACGGCAGCTGGACCTGGATCCATTAAAATACGATCGCAAGCCCATCCTCGAGTACCTTCATGAGATCGCATCGACAACGACACCTGGCAGGCCATACACACGCATCGAACGTTGCTGCGGTTCTGGTGTGACTTCCGGATTCAATTGCGTTTGCTTGGTACGTCCACGGCACTTTGCGGCCCATTCTGCGGTGTGGACACTGTGGGCTTCCTCACGACAGTGGCCACCATGGCGTGTTCTGAAGCGACTTCTTGAGGCAATGGCCAAGGAGACTCTGCCAGGTCACTTGCCGCCGGCTGTCCAGTCCTTGATTCTGTCGTTCATTGGCCAGGAATTCACCGAGGACATGTTCCTCCATGCTGAGCGACCATTCGAAGTGTCTGGCCTCGATCAGTGGGAGTGGTGGTGGCAGCTCTGGCAATTCGACCAATCTGGCCAATCTACGTAGGCACCCCCTCATTGCGCGATTGGCATCTTCTGAGTGGATCACGAAAAGGTTTCCACCCCTGGGTGCGAGGCACACATGTCGGCTGGAAGAACAGCTTGAACATCTGGGCGATTGGAAAAGTGCCCAGCTGTCGTGGCATCTGCGGCTAGCCAGTGCTATGCTACTAGTGCAGTCCTCGGGCCTGCAGGTGTACATGATCATTGCGCATATTGACACTGCTGTCAAGTTCAAGAGGCCGGGAATGCTGCAGAGTTGTAACAGGGGTTTCGTAGGCCCCAGTAGGGCCAAGCTGCGGCATGTATTCGTCACCACAAGCCAGTTGGCTGGTGGCTCCGCACCCGGATGCGAACCGAGCAGCGAGGCGAATGGGAGCGGACGGGTGCACTGTGTCAAGGTTTGGTTCTTGTTAAGTACTAAGGGAGCTTTTGCGCTTTGCTTGCACATGGATCTTGTTATTCGCTTCTGCGATGGTCTGCCAAGGACGGTCAGAGAGAAGCTTCTAAAGAAGCATTTCTTCTTTCACGAGTCAGAGCAGTAAGACCCTCAGGATTCCTGAAGGCATGGGGTGGACGGCACAGGTTGGGGGAAGACTCAAAGAAGCCTCGAAAAAAGCTTGTTGAGGCCAGGACATTTGGAGGATCCTGGTGTGCTGGGGCCGGGCACTGAGCTGTTGAAGCACGCCTGTCCATGTTTGTCAGGGCCCGTTTTCTTTCTCATTCCCTCCTTGTTCCATTGTCGCTCTTTCATGGTTTTTGTGCTTAATCTCTCGTCTCGATTGTATCTTACTTGATGATCTTTGTTGCGGACCTGGTTTCTCTATGCTCCACGGACTCCAACCCTCCTTCCTCTTCTTCCTTCCGCCCCCGTCTCTCCCCTCTCCCCCTTCGCCCTCCCTTCCTTCCATATTTCAATTAGATTAGCCCAATCCCAACCACCCACACCGCCTAAAATCCGACGGATGTAGGAATAGCAGATAGTACGCTCGAATTAAAACTCGTCCTGTATCCGCCCCCTGCCAGGCGGCCACGTGCCCAACGATCTTGCCCACCTCCCCGCTCAGCATCCCCATCGTCCACCTCGCTCCTGTCGCGCTTTATCCCCTCGACCACCTGTACACTCGATCACGCATTCTCGCCGGTCTGGCGGTTGCCCTTCATCCTCCACCCCTACTGCATCTCGAGACTTTAACAACATGTATGAGGTACAGCAACGAGAACCAAGCACCAGAGGAGTTTTGTGGGCAAAGGCTGCTATCCTTAATTCAATGCCGCAGAAAGTCGCTCTCGTTGGAAATAGGTGCCGTGTTGCTCCCTTGTTTGCTTGTTCACTCTGTGATGCCGCATGCTCGGCCTACAAGTTGGTAGGAAGATCTGAACTGCTGCTATTGTTGCACGATTTGCTGATACCGATTGCTGAACACACCTCCCTTGGACAATTACACGAGACGCTGCTAAGATGGATCTGGCTGCTGTTCGGCAGTTGCCACAAGGAGCAGCGGAGCCCGCATCCAGGCAGCATGTACTGTGGCACGATTCTTCTCTGTCACAGACCGCAAAAGCCAGATGCTACCGTGCAATGCTGCAAAACTGGCGGGCGGTGTGACAGTGAATGCTGTTGCAAAGCTCCGTCCCAGACTAAGGAGTGGCTACCTCGGCCGTTGGACACACATCAGCCCCGGGCCAAGCAAAGGCCATCCAACCCAAGAAGTGGTCACCCGGACACTTAAGTTACAGTTTGCTGCTGTCATGGTGAGCTCACTGTAGCATAAGAGGCCGGTGCAAGGCCGGTGGTAAGCTGCGCGAGTGTTGCAATATCAGCTGCGCAGTCTTGCAGCAAGTGTTGCCCTCAGGTTCCACCGTGCCTTCCAGTCCCAACTGGCCTGCAAGTCCAGTCAAGCAGTCCATGCTGGGACACAGCATCAGCGGCATGGCTGCAGCATGAGCAAAGCTCCGAACATTGCTGTTGCTGTTAGTGACGGAAGCGAAGGAAGTCTTTGGACTGTTGCCACTGACGCCTTTCGATGTTGTTACTTGTAGGTGAGATGTCGATGTCTGACAGCTGGGTGGAGCACTCCATTCCCTTGAAGATGGCGCGGTCCATCTTGGCTCCGAGGCCGCTTCTCATGCAAGCCATGGGTTTGTGGAGAGATGTTTGGTGCCAGTAACGATTTTGGTCAAGCCTTTGAGCTCTGATGGGCTCCCATAGAGAGAATGGAAGTGTGTCATTGTACGAAGTGTTTCTTTGCACATTCTTGTGGCCAATTGCGCACGTGCCAACTAGGCCGGGCGAAGAAGTCGGTCGGAAGACTGTTTTCGCGTGCCCGGCCCTCAGTGAGAGGCCAAAACGTCGCAGCTTCTCGCCTGGATGCTGTCCATGAATTTCCCAGGCGGAATTCCGACGGTTCCATCCAGTGTGGTTGACAGAGTCTCGTTAGTCCATCCAGCTACCGGCTCAGCCTGGACCCCGGAGTCTGGACTTGGAAATGGTTCAGTGCTTGTGTGAAGTGCGCAAGCCAAGCCTCAAAGATGTCCTTGCCTGACACAAGCTAGGTTGAGGCAAGCTTTTAGCCAGCAAGGTTCTTTGCATCACCTGTTTCCTGTCTTGCAGCTTTTGCTCGAGCTCACGTTTTCCCTCTTCGGGCTTCCTTTTCCACTCGCACTGCCACCGGACAAGAAACCACTCGTTCAGGGCTCAAGGCTTAGTTTGTCGCTGCACAGCCCCGTCCCTGGTCACTTCTGCATCTTTTGGCTTCTGTCCTGCGCTGTCTTGTGCCCAAGGGTGCTGCAGCCTGTGCTGTGCGCATTAGCCCCGCCCCCCGCATGTCATTGCTTGTCGAGGTTTGGCTGCGGAGCGTCTGAGACAGAGAGAGAGAACGAGCAGAAGCAATGAGCAAGTATGGGGTCCTGTCCAGACGCTCTGAAAGCACGTGGCTACTTTGGCAAATTGCTGTGTATGAAGTCAGACATGGCAGGCATGGGCTTCAGGAGCTTTAGCTCCTTGTTCCCTTCTGGGCCTTGCTTGACCGTTGTGGAATGCACGCCTCTGCCACCCTCAGGATCTGATGGGAACTCGAAATGGTTCCTTCAAAAAACCTTATTGGATCACGACAAGTCAATGGACCATCCGTGGCCGCTCGGCTGCGGGTAGTACCCTTGTGAATTGCTGCCTGCAGGGGCCTTGGGATGCTTGAGGCGACCTGTAGCAAGTGTATGTCTCAATCCAAAGTCTCGCAGCAAGGATGCAGATGATTTACAAGCAGAGCTTCAGCCTGAAGCAGTATGCGGCATGGCTGTCATTGAACCACCAGGTCTTCCAAGCTGGGCACCTAGCGCCCTAAGCAGCTGAAAAAGAGACAGGACCAGACGGGACTGCCGTGTGGTGTCAAGGTCATGGAGGAAAAGCTCGATCCTTCTGCAGATCCGATTCGCACCTCAGCTTTGGGGGTATGTTCAGGGCGTTCGGGGCTGCAGTAGAGACCTGGAGCCAGCACCTAAGCCTGAAAGGGCAGACCGGCTACGCAGTTGTCCTCTCAGTGCTGGGGTTGACATGTCCTTGGCACTGGAGCTGCTGGCCCCAGCAGCATAATGGAGCAGACAGCTGATTGGGGCAAAGTATGGGCGTGGTTCATGGACGCTCATCACAAGACACTCAAGTGGTCGATGCTTCTCGCCCATACCAACTTACTTGGCACAACGGACATTCTACTTTCCAGTGAAAGTTGATGCAACACGCGCACCACATCCAGCATGTAGCGTGGATCAAATTGCCAGATCACCAGCATGAAACACACTACACAAAGATGTACACTCCAAAAGCCTACTACCATTGGGTGTGCAGGACGAAACATGCAAGGAATTTGGACTTTTTGGAGTTTATGGACTCACTTGTGGAACTTTTGGAACTTCTAGAGCTTGTCAGAAAAACCATCACAGCTTCTAACAATTTTAGAACTTTTGGAACCTTTCGAAGTTTTAAATCCCAGAACCTACTAACACCCCTCGCGCCCCCAAATGCAACGCGGTGAACCTGACCGAGACCTAGCTCGTCGCTGGGCAGAATCCGAAGTGCTATGACACACACATATTGGAAGGCCTGGCACTGCCCACGATGTTGTCAAAAAACAAAGACATGCAGGGACGGGGCCGCGTGAAGATCAAACTCCGTCAAGTCGCTGAATTGCGTGAAAAAATGCGGCTAGCGGTCGTTGGGCACTATTTCAAGGGCATAGAAAGGTCCCGGATGCCATCCTCCGCATGAAGCTCTCTACGTTCTTCGCAACCACAGCATATGCTCCCCACGGAACCAGGTCGTGGACGTTTCTCGTCACCCGCATCGGTGAACTTCTCACGCACCTCCGCAAGTGGTCCAGCCACATGTCCGAGCACAACTTGACAAAGAGGCAGAGATCGCCAACCGAAAATGCTCGCTTGCACAGTCCTCAAGCAATAATATTAATTACAAGGTACACGTACTACAGCATTGGAACATTCCTTGCAGCTATGCAACGCCTTCCTCTTCTACCTGGAAGTGCTGGACACGTTGGATCCAGATCGGATTACCGAACATAGTTCAATTTGAAAGACCAGGCCAGTTCAAGGTCAAACGCCTCGCAAAGACTTTCTACGACTTCGACAGCTTGTGGATGTAGACTGCTTTGAACCATGGCCATTACCTGCCACGTCTTCTTTGGACCCCGCAAGGTGACATGTGCTCAGTACATCACCATGCCAAGAATCAAACATTCTGTCCTGCAGGAAAGAAAACATGAGTTGCAGTAGGGGGCAGCCATGTGCTTGAGAGTCTCATGCCAACGAAGACCGTCTAAGTACGCAGTGAATAGAGATGGAACGCAATCTCCACTTACCTGCAAATGATTGCCTTCAACATCCCGTATCACAAGCTGTGTGTGGTGCATCCTCGCTGTTGGTGCAACAATTTCAGCATGGTTGATTTTTGTGCATGTTCTAGCACGTGGTTCATCCTCAGCATGATTGAAGCGGTCGTAACAGTGATGGGTCTTTGCAACAAATCATTCCGTTTGTGCAGCACAGTTTTTGCATGAAGATGGAGTGGAGCATCTTCAGCATGTCATGAAGTGCCTTGCAGCCTTGCAGAGCATTGTCAGGAAGTAGGTGCATGTCATGCAAGCAATTTGCGGAGCAGTTTGCATCACGTTCTTGCAGAGCATTCTTGTGCAGAGTGGGAGTATCATGGAGCACGTCAATAGGCTATAGCATGTTTATGCAACAGCAATGCAGGGTGTGAGAATGTCGTGGAACTTTTGTGCGACGCGGGGTCATGGATCAACTTTCTTTTGACAGTTCTTCTACAAAAAAACAACCTTCAAGTGTTCTCTCATATGAACTTCATTCGCTCTTTCTGCCTCACCATTATGCGTTTCCTCTTCCACATGGATGCTCGTTCTTCATATCCTCGCCTATCTTGTGGGTTGAGCAAGCCCTGCGCTGACGAGGCACCGTCCACGACGACTCGCTCCCGCGGACGCAAAAGTTGGAGGCCCAAAGCTCTTCCAAACCCTTCACAGTTCCAGGAGTGAAGCTGCAAGGTTAGGTCTCAAGAATCTCGGCCTGAAGCATGCTAAGGCCCTCGTACTTTGACCCACCAGCCTGTCTAAAGTCATGTTTCAATCTCTGTCGGGTTCCTTGTTCAGTTCAAGCTTGAGAAAGACGGAGGCACGACATGACGATCAAAACTTAGAAACGAGTGGCTTAAATCTTGATGGCTTGGAAATTAGCCACGTGGCCCGGAAGGCGGATTTGGCTCGGCTGCTAGGGCCAGGTTGGAGCGAGGAGCACATCTGCTGTGTTTTCCGGAGTTTGGATTTTGTTGCGAGAGCGGGCGGTGATCTGCAGAGGAGTCAGCAGAGACTTGTTCGGCTTCGGCGGCCACGAAGAGATATCTGGAAGGCTTGTAACTTCTGCAACTTCCAAAAAAAGCATCCACATTTTATCACTTTTGCTTAATTGAGTGAGACTTGCCCCCTTGGCACGGCACAGGTTTGCAGGCAGATTCTGCTGACCCGCACCTTTTGCTAGCGCATCACTTCCTGCAGTACAATGCCGCTTGGCGTTGGGATGTATGAGGTTGTTGCATCGAGGAGTGGCAGAAGCCACTAGGGTTTGCCAAACTGCATGCAGGCAGTGGACTTTTATTTGATTTGTTGCCTGCCATACTCTTTTGCAGGCTGTGCTGAGTGGTGGTGCTTACTTGGGAGAGATGGTTTCGCAGAAGCTGTGCGTGCCGCATGGTGCACCGGGAGTGAAATTCTACCACTTTGAAGGTGTGCAGGCTGGCAAGGAGCCTGCCCGAGTGCAGCAATACCTGATGGCATTCGACCAGCTACAGCTTGGCGAAGATGTCCGAAATCAGATGCTGAAGGTCATGAAGCGCATTTACATGGACACGGAGGCCATGATGACGGAAATCTTTGACATGAACCCAGCCAGTGGTGTCAGCTACCGGAGCTCCAAGGAGGAAGGCGAACGCGAGCTGCCGGCCCCCTGCAAAGAGCAGTTGACCCTCAGCCTTCAGGCTGGTGGAGTCGGATATGCTTCAAGTATGTTCAAGTATGTTCAGGTGATGCTTCGGTTTAAGGAGTTTAAGGTCTCCGATGGTTTCCGACTCCGTGTGTTTCTCCCGCCCCTTGTTGAATCCATGGCTGTGCAGAGGGAAGAGCCGCGTTTGTTGTGCCTTTTCTGCTTCCTTCACTGTCAACCTGAGATTCGCATTTCGGAGTAGCGCGGCGCGCGGGGCTTTTCTTCGATGTTTTCGAAAAATTCTGGCAGGGACCCCAAGCAGTGTAAGAATACTGCAAAAGTTTTCAAGATGGCCTCCAAACAAGCCAAAAACCACGTCAAGATCAGGGTCATCGATTGCAAGGCCTTGTGCAGCAAAGTGCAAGCACTGCTAGGGGACAACGCGGCAAATTTCGTAAGTATACCCCGAGTCGGTGAAACGGAGTTGTCGCCCATTCCTTTGCACGGGAAGCTTTAAGAGTGATCGCTGCGGTCGAGGCTTCACGGTGCAGTGCGTAGGTTTTCCGAACGACTTTGCCTCGGGAGTGCGATGATTCGCTGTAAATGTTATAAATTGGGACGGGTAGCACATGTGTGTGTGTGTGTAAGCTTGCTCAAGCTCACGTAAGCTCACCTGCCAGGAGTTGAGGCAGTTCACTGGCGAGGACAAGGGGCGCATCCTTGTCAGCCTTGCTGGAGAGCTGCTTGATGTCAGCTCTGGCCGGGAGTCACCTGGCAGCACAATTCTGTTTCCAAGGGCAAAAAGGGCCAAGATGCGAGTTAAATTGCCAGTCCAGGCCACTTTCCATCGTGCTGTAGATTCCGCTTTGCGTTGTTATGTGCAGTCCATGGGTCTGCCTGCACATATTCTGTGAAGTTACTCATTACCGGAGTTTCGCCAGGATGTATGGGCCAGGCAGCGGTTACTCGGAAGCTCGGCTGAAGCAATGCCTGTGAACCTGTTTTCCCTTGGCGTACTGCTGGCAGCCTAGATTCTGGCTGGTCACGACGTCACGCGATGCCTTGCAACGATGTCGCTCGAGCCAGAACACCTGGACGACCTCAGGCAGGAAAGAAAATTGAATGCAAAAACTGACAGGTGGCTGTAGCCGAGAAAGTGTCCTACATGACATGTGGGCTGTCATGCCTAAGGCATGGCCTAAAGATTCTAACGTGAAACCTGCGTCTAACGCATGCTGGCTTGCGAAACCATGACGTGCAGGACCAGCATTGCCCTAAACCCTAAACCCTAAGCCTGCCTTGTGCGAGTGCGAGAGCCGAAACCCTAAGCCCTAAACCCTAAGGCAAAACCTTAAACCCAGACCCTAAACCCCATCATGATTATTGCTCTTGGCCGACCAGGTGGTCTCCGGACTGTGCAGAGGACGAGGATGCTCTCAATCAATGGCGGCAGCGACTGAAGGAGAAGTATCCCGTGGCAGGACCGGGGGGGGGGGGGGGCGGGAAGGCCCTTTAGCCAGCACTCTTGTGCTGTCCCACCCAAGCGTGTCTTACATGTGTTGTGCCATGATGTGCCATGGTACAGAGCATGATGGGAGCCGCTGTGGAGATGCCATTCGCCAAGACTAATTCTGCCTCTCGTACTTACCCCTACATGCTGAAAACTCTGTATTTTACGTTTCCTATGCTTAGCTAGGCTTAGGGAGTATGTAATTATGTATAACGTGCTTTTCTGACTACCGGATTCTGGGAATGCGAATGTGTGTGTGTGTTTATTGGCAAGCGACGTGGTATTTACAGTTTTTTCTTGTGTTTGCATCGCCAAACCTGGATTTTCTCAGCCTTGTTAAATGGTTGGGTGCGTCTACTTCTCGTGTGTCTTCTTCACGTTGAGTGCCGCTGCAGTAAGGGTTATGTTTGTTGTGGTTGTGTTGCGCCAACAAACAGACCTATCATGTAGTTGGGACTAGCTTTTATTTTGCAATCAGGGCTGCTAGTGTTATTCATTGAACTGCAATAACAAGGGCTAGTAACTGTAAAGATAGAGATCCACCAATAAACTTACTGATTGCCCGAAGCATATTATTTGTTCACTCGTTCTCTTATTGTATTCCTTTCGCTCAGTGTCGCATACAATTAAGTGAGCTGTCAACAAGAACCTGGGATAGCAATAATGTATTCACAAAGGATGTGAATATCACATTACTACTGAAAGACCAAATGCATAGAATGAAGAAAACATGTCACGATTTTAAGCCATGTATTTAACCCGACTATGCACATTTTGCAATTGTTTTTTCAGAATGTCTGGGCTCGTCTAACTTAATGACCTTTTTCATCGGCTTCATGAACAGAACTTAAAGATTGATGAGCACTCTTGCTTTTGCGAATTTCCCCAAGTTCAAAATGCAATTTGCTTTGGCAATTCTGTGTTAATATGATCGGAGGCTACTTGTAAAATTTTAACCGGCGCTCAAAGCCTTATGGAAGTGTTCATGTGCCCGTTAAGAGCCTTTCTAAACTGAAGCCGTTTATACACTTTTCTCTTAATTCCCATTTTAAGGACTCAGCGCACGACAAGCTCCGAAAGCCCTGAAGGACCCCAGGCTTCTTGCCCCTTGTATCGCAAGGGCTTTGACGATTTTTTAAGCTGTGCTTTCTCATATTCAATCCGTTCAAGCCTTTAACATATTCCAATTGCAACCTCGCCCTCTTCAATTGGAGGATTGGACAGGCAGCTAATGAATAATCCAGCACGTTCGCAGGCACCATGCAGCCGGCATGGAATCAGAGGAAAATCTGCCAAGAGCTTGCTTACACCAGTGCTCTGGGTCCTGGCTATGTTCTTAATGCTACTCAAGATGTCCCGGCTCTGCAGGACAGCTAACCAGCGCGGCTGACACCGCCGACGCCACCGGGGCCGAGGGCTTGCGGAAGCGCCCGGCTGGCAAAGAGGAGGCGAAGGCCCCCAATGCGGTCACAGCGGGAGGGCATGCGGAAGGCGATCGATGCCCCATCTCGGGGAAGCAGGGTGGCCTGGATGCGTTGGAAATTACGTGTGATGGTTTTTCAGATTCGTGGGTGGGGTGATCCTGTCACTCGCAGGAGAGTGTTTGAAACAAGTGGGTTATATGCATATATTGAACTTTGGTGGTCATGGACCAGGTTGCCTCAGCCTGTCAAACATATTCAGGTTCTCGGGTGTTCTGCGATCAAAAGGCTATGAGAGGTCCAGAACAGATGTGCAGAGCAAATCCTTTAGCAAGAGCTCGATCTTGCTTCAGTGTCAAGTAGCCTGAAGTTGTTGAGGGTGTGGGCATAGATTTCTCGGCAAAATGCACGGAACAGGAGAATTGATGGCATGAAGTTCTCTTAAGCACAGCCCGAAAGCGGTGACGGGCTGGGGAACCACAGGACCTGGGGAGGGCGGAGCACCAAGGGGGCATCATGCGAACATCGTCGCCAACCCCACGCAAACTTTGCTTGAACATTTGTGTCTTGAAGAGAAATTGCTTGAAACCCATCTGACGCCATATGAATCCTTTCCGAACCTTTCGTGCGAAAATCTCAGTTGCAAAGGGGGCGAGGCGAACCCACTGCTTTACGGCATCCGAAGCCTGTGGACAGCCAGCTTTTTGCACCTACCGGGGAGCTGGCCAGGAGCTGGAAGCACGGGAAACCTTGGATTTTTGCAGGGTTTGGAGCTTGTGAACAGCCACGCTCGCTTCAGGAGTTTCACAACACAAATGCGTCGGCGGCCCCTGAAAGCGGCCAATGGGGAGAGGCTGAGAGTGATCGTGGCAGTCTTGTCGCTCTTGCTTCTCACGTCGACGAACCCGGCAACTCGCACCCCCAGTGGCGGCCCCCTTCAGCTGGGGGGCAGGCGTGCAGGCAGGAAAAGAACGTGAGAGAAGACAGTAAGAAAGAGGACCACTAGTAACGCACACCCGCTGCCCGGTTCTAGGCAACAGGAGACAGCGACCCAACCAACCGGATTCATCCTGAGTACCAGGCGAGTTTCCTGCAGACAGGGACCCACTTGGCCGTCGCGGTCGGGTCGCGCACCCGGGGGCCCAACGTGGGCAGCAGAGGAAGAAGAAAAAGAAGAAGAAGAAGAAGAAGAAGAAGAAGAAGAAGAAGAAGAAGAAGAAGAAGAAGAAGAAGAAGAAGAAGAAGAAGAAGAAGAAGAAGAAGAAGAAGAAGCAGAAGCAGAAGCAGAAGCAGACGCAGACGCAGAAGCAGAAGAAGAAGAACACAAAGAGGAAGAAGAAGAAAGAAAAACCTGATAAGAGCCACGAACCCGAATGCAGATGCGTCTTGCATACACGGCAACCAAAAGACACGCAGGGCACGACACGAGATTCGAACTGAAGTGTGTTATCCGTCTCGCTTTCTCTCTCTCGTCTCTCATCTCTTGTCTAGCTTTCATCTCTCCTCTCCCTGATTCATTCACTCTCTCTTTCTCTCTCTTTCTCTCATTCTCCCTTTCCTTGTCGTTCTCTTCCTTTCTATCTCTTTCCCATTCTGTCTCGTTCGCTTTCTCATTCTCTCTTTCAGTCTCTCTCTCTCTCTCTCTCTCGCATTCTCTGCGCCTCTATCTCTTCTCCCTGGCACATTCTCTCTTAACACAGGCTTGGGCCAACATCCACACCAGAGGGGTGGATGTTGGGCCAACATCCACTCTCGAGGGGTGGATCTTGGGCCAGCATCCACGCTTGAGGGGTGGATCTTGAGCCAACATCCATACTTAAGGGGTGAATGTTAGACTTACTTCGCCTTTAGTTGAACTTTACTTTTTGGGTTTCCTTGTTTAGTAGGAATATTGAAGTTTAACCTTTTTTTGCCCTTAGTTATTGGAGAAGTAAGTAGATCAGAGAAGACACGCGGTACGATTTGTTACGAACCGTGGGTATGTGTTGTGTAAAGATCGCAGAAGACTGGGGGTACGATGTGTTTTGCGCCCTCTCGACTCACGATCACACCGACTCTTCAGTCTCTGTTTCTTTGTTCAGGGCCTGGTCTCCATGTGAGGTCCATGAAATTATAGGAGGGAAGGTGTGGACAGAGCCATGTTGCAGCATCGCAGACATAGACATGTCATTCGTTTTTGTAAACTTGCTTCCTCGCCAAGGTACTTGCCCGATGGCCGCAATCATGGGCATCCAGAAGCCGGCAGAAAAGGCCGAGCCAGCGGCTCTGGGTACCAGCTCTGGTGGGGCATTCATGGCAGGAAAGAGCCTTGTAGCACCCTGCCGTCGCATTGTGAGGTAGTCCTGCGTGGCTTATCCGATGTACATGCTATCAACCGGACCCAGGGAAGTCGGTTGCTGAGGCAAGCGTTCAGAAGAAGAACTCCTTCGACGATTCCTTGCTGTATCGACTCTGTCCACTGCACTGGGATGACAAAACCATCAAAATGGCCATGAGCCTGGATGTCTTGGGGTCATGCAAGGATGATAGGTGGGCTGCGAGTGCGAAGTGACGGGCAGTTGGCGAGTGCTGAGTGCGTCATGCCTCGTAAGGTTTGCATGATTGCGGCTGCCTCTTGGATGAGCGGCATATTTATCGGATGGAACCTGCGAAAGATGCTGGTTAGATGAGGGCAAGGGCGCACGTTGTCCACGCTCCCTCCTTCTTTCTCTCGCGCTCTCCCTCTCTCTCTCTCTCTAACACTCTGACTCTTTAGCTCTCTAACTCTCAAACTCTCTAACCCTCATCTCTATCTCTCTCTGGCTCTCTTTGTATCTCTCTTTAACAGCCGATGGGAGGGGGGTATTGTATGCGTGTGCTACATACAGAGAGATGCAGAGACTGCTTGGAGCCCGCGCGGCATGTTTCACCGCTTAGGGCCTCGCCCTGTCCGCATCCTGCGCCCAGAGGCAAAAAACTAGTCACAGTTGCGTCAGAAAGTGACAGTGGTACTGACTCTTCTGAACGGGGTGCAGGGTGCGCGGCAGAGTGAGTTCCCTCCCGCACAGACATGCAGAGCAGGAGCGGGAAACGCTCCTCGGCTTTGCATCGCAGGGTTTGTCCAGGACACGACCCTACTCCCACAGCTTGCCCATGTGGCCAAACGATGCACAGTGCTGATAGGCACCGAGTGCAGTTGAACGGCGAGGTGGCGCAGCTTGCAGCATGCAGCACACGTGACAAGTCTACAACCGAGCAATGCAAGTTGCAGATACAAATGGAATTGTCATCAAGTCAAGAAGTGCTGCATCAACCTCCTCATGACGTCATAGCGGTTTTCGGCGCCAGCTTGGCTGACAAGCACCATCCATCTCGGATCCTGGTGCCACGGGGAAAATTTAGAGGAGTTATGCTGCCAGGCTTTTGAGCTTCACAGAGTCATAGTTTCGGGCTTCTTTTCGGTTCTGGGGTTCTACAGGGTGAAGACAGGTGCTCCAAATTCGTGTCCCTCTTCGATTCCATGGGTGAGCTTAGTTGGTGTTGTCCGAGACGTCGCTGGAACGCTGCCGGTTCAACTCCTCAGAGCTACTTTTTGCAGGTGTGCTGCGAATTCTGGTACACTGCACAAGGCCAGATACGATATGCTGGCATCTCAGGTGTGCATTTTCTCTGCCTTGCGTGTGACTTGCACAGCCGATGGGGCAGGTTGGAGGTTGGCTCTGTGGTTGACGAGATGTTTGGAGGTTAACCGAAGCTTTTTTGGATAAGAATAAGAATCATTCGAACTAAGGGTGCTTGCTATGGCTGCCGCCAAGGACTCGCCGCTTGACCCACCAGACGGCAAGGCCGCGTGCTAGGGTGCAAGTCCGCTCCACGTTGTTCTTCCAACCCTTCTTCCGAATCATAGTCGGTGGGCCGCACTGATATTGAAACGCTCCGCAGCCTGGTCCATGACTATGGTGACGTTGAGACGGTACACTTAATAAGCGAGTATCGATCCTTGGTTTGCTCCTCAGACCTTGAGGACTTGAGGGTCCGCGTCTTCGCTAAGGCCGATGAAGAGCGTGCACGCTTGACGGTGGACCCCAATGAGCAGTGGATGCACGCACCTTAAGTTCATGCCCAGTGCTTGTTCACCTTGTGAGTACCAAAAGAGTCAAGAGCACGTGATGCTGCGCATGCGGATCGAAGCGTTTGGGCACCAAACAAGATGAAGTGATAAGATCACATGTGCTTGTCATGCCAAATCGCAGCCTCGGCCGTCGTGCTGTGAGTGGCCGAGTGCGTTCAGTGCTGTTAAAGATGCAGGCTGCATCGTCGTGCCACAGCTGTTGCGCATGAGGTTCTATGAAAATATGTGAAAAAATTGCGTGTGGATGCACCGAAGAGGGCATGGTCCAAGCTGCCTGTTGTGGTGATGCGGGACTCTAGCCAGCACAGCACTTCCCGAAATCATGCTGTAGGTATCCTGGCACAGACGTGAGGGATATTGAGGGATACCCCCAACCCGGCAGAAGCAACAAGCAGCTACCCCTCAATCACACGTAGGATGAGAATCCACCTCAAGCTCGGGCAGCTACCTTTCCTGATTTCCACTCTCCTGCCCTGTTTATTTATGGCTTATTTTCACCCAGTGGCGACCTCCCCTGTCCTTCCGCTCCATTGTCTGGTTCGAAGGTTACAAGGGCGACGCTTGACACCATGGAGTTTTACAAAGGTTTCACAAAGCCGCCAAAACGAGCCGACATCCAGCATATCTCCCAGAGATCAGAAACGAAAGTGGGAGTCTATAGTGAGTCTGGTAAGTGCACCGTGCCGGCATTGTGCCCAGGTACGGCCGGCTAGTAACTACAAGCAGCTTCTCCATGAAGCCGCTTTCTCAGGATTTCATTCAACGCCATGCGGAATGAGTCGAATGGTTGGTGGTCTTTTTTCTGATTCATCTGCTACTCCCAGCTACTCTCAGGCTGTGCGAGGTTCTCGCACGCTCGTCATGCACTGCGCAGGGACCTTGGGTAGCATTGTTCAAGCCATGAAAGACAGTGCAAATGCTGACGCCCAGGTTCTACAACATTGCAATGCTGAACTTGTTGTCCGAAATTGTGTCTACAAAGGTGCCTTGACAACAGCCATCTGGTGAATGTCCGAAGCTGCAAAACAAACAGGCGCTTGCATGCGCATGCTGTTGGCAGGCCTTGGCAAGCAGCTTTGATACCTACATCCTGGGGCTGTTCATCATTTCCCGGTGCCTTTGGGCAGACCTCTCAGCTGGCAAGCTCGACCAGGCTTGCAAGAGGGAGAGTAGCATGAGATGAGGTGTACATCGCCCATCGGCGCGCGCAAAGAGCGCTCATCCTTGACTGGCACGACAAGGCTTCTGCAGTTTGTAGGCAATTCGAGTGCGAAGCTCTGCAAGCTGCTCTGTGCCGGGTGGCCTTCACACATCTTAACATGAAGGGCGAGTATGTGACCAATGCCTGCGGCTCAGAGTGGAAATGGTTGATGTTCCTGCTGCCAGTTGTAGCCAGACATCGGATGGATGGGGTTGCTGGCCAAGGTTGGTTTCTTTGCCAGGCCAGGCAAGGGGACAGCAGCAGCCATCAGCATAGCCTCGCTTGCTGTCATCTTCTCATGCCATGGGTGCAAGTGATGGGTCTAATTCTTTCTGTCATGTTGCTCCAATTATGGGAAGCATTGTCCTCCAAACGGTTGTCCTGCCCTGAGGGTTTTAGGCTTACGGGGTTAGATTGCCGGCCGACGTGCGACGGAGCACGAGTTTGGGGTTCTTAATAGGGCTTCGTTTGCTCTGCAGTGGGATTTGGGAGGCGGCGGGGTGTGTTCATTGGAGTGAGGTGTGGCGGGTTCCGTGGCTCCGCAAGTGTGTTACCAGTAGATACCAGGATACAGTGATGGTCCTTCTCGATGCCCTTGCATATGACTCACATGCCAGGCTGGATCTTATGATCAGCCTGACAGTGGTGGAAATGTTCTTGATCCCAAGGACTGTGGGGTCCAGTCACCCTGTGGGTCGTGTTTTGTGGCGCTCGTGTGGGAGGATGGTCCGAGACGTTGTGTCCCTGCTTCATCCTGACAAGCTGATCTCTCAGCCTCTTGCATCCTTGCAGCGGCTGTAATGCGGTTATACCTTTGCCATGTCAAAGACTCACCTGTAAGGAGGTGCCACCCATTCGCGGCATTCGGCGGGAAGCTGCCCGTTGCTTGGATGGCTGCTGCTGGTTGGTGTTGCTGCGCAGCAACCACGATGTCTTGCCTGTCCGGACATATGAAACAGCACGCGAGAAAACAATCGTCGTCCGTGGCAGTGGAGTAGCACCGCCGTCGCCAACCGGCACGGCGTCGAGCGTAGCCCGGCCCCCCATCTCACAAGGCGGCTCAGGCCAAAACAAACGGCTTGGGTGACACCGCAAACCCGGCACTGCAAAGTCTCCCTACCCGCAGCCACCATAACACCACGGCTCATGACACACGTACTGCCGGGACCCCCTGTGCTCTTCGCACCCCCCTCCCCCCCCCACCCTCCCAAAGACCCCGAGCAGGTCCAACCCCCCCCACCCCTGTTGTTTCTAGATGCCGAGTTTCATGTTAACACTGATGGCAGCTGAGGTATGGGCCTCGTTCCTTCATTCTGGGCTTCCCCAACAAGGAAACCAAAGAAACGGGACAAGTTGAAAGAGGGAGTTGAGCATTGGCTTGAATTTCGCGCATTTGCCTTGGATGTGATGCCTCCCTTCAGGACATGTACACCACCGAGAGCCTACACGGCATAGTGTCTTGCTCCTGGCAAACAACTATGTACATGCAGAAGTAAACTGAAGTAAATCTACCAATGGATGTATGAATGGGAGATCGCAAGGCTGCCGCATCAAGCGCTGTCACGCAGACACGGACCAAGGTCTCAGGTACCCATTCTGATAGCAGCCGTCAGCTCATTCTTCCCGCTTTCGTTCGAGTGGGAACTTGAAGTTGCCAGCAAAGATGTTAGTCTCTAGTTCTCCCTTGTTTTGAGGATGTCGTCCTCATCGCCAGCCTGTGCGACTTGCCTTGCTGATTTGAGGTCTCTTCGGTTTGCTGTGGAAGAGTGAGATACGTCACCAGCAGAACTTGCATGTCTCTACCCTGCGGCGGTAAATGCCCAGAAATACTCGGCACTCAAGGTTGGACATTGAGCGCCAAGATAGGCACACGCCTCGTGCCAACTCTTGCATGCAGACATGTCCCAAGTATGTAATGCGTGCTGTTCAAGATGTATGTTAGGCCCCTTGTCAACCTTGAGCAGGGGAGGCCGAGACCTGCCTGTGCTGACAGGCCTTTTTTACTTCTCCATTCCCGAAGACCGGGAACGCTGGTGGGAAGCTCAAAAACAATTGTCAAAGCTGCTGCAGCTCTCAGCTTCTCTCTCCGACTCTCCAGAGAATATCTCCGGTGTCAAACAGAAGCGCACTCGGGGTTTGAGTCTCTTAGAGTGCCTCATGCTGAGGCTTTGGTGCCGCTGCATGACGTGGCTGGTTCTGGTGCTCACGGTGGTGAATTTCGTCTTGAAGGCGCTGCTGCCCTTGAGAGAGTGCACGAATTTTTCATGAGAAGAAGAGCGGCTGAGAGAAAAAAGCGGTCTTAAGTGCTACAGCTCTCGGGCGGTGAGCTGGGTTTTTCCCCGCCAGATGCCAGGTGGTCTTGTTTCGTCGATATTTGAAGGCTCGCGGTCGCTATCGGCCCGTGGCTCAGATATCGTTTCTGTATTGGTATTACATGATAATAGCATACTGTATGAATACTTTCTTGTTGCAACATCATTACTATATTATTCCATTGCCACATGATACTGTATTGTTACATATGATTGCTAACTAACGTCACGTGGCTTTGCACTTCTGGCCCCAGGAACTGTTTGAAACATGCCCGATGGTTCTTCGAGCTCAAGCGTTGCAAGATGCACCAATGGATGATGGAGTTATTGATGACGCGAAGCTGTAAGCTAAACCCTAAACCCTAAACCTGCATCCGCTAGGCGGGTGGCAAAAAGAAACCTAAACCCTAAACGCATGCCAGTGTCAGAGTCGAAGCATTCCCGGTTGCTTGCCAGGGCCTGGCTCAAGGTGAAGTTGAATGACCCAACTCAGCCTGACGCTTGCAGGCAGTTGCCTAGTCGAATCGGATCTTGCCTAAAGTTTTGACTTTTGACTTACACTTGGTTAGTAGGGAATGAGGGAATGAGGTACCCTATATCCCCCTATATACCCTTTAAGGGATTATATATTAGATGGTACCTTGTTCCCACTTGCCCTGCTAACCAACAGTAAGTTTATGCAGGACTTTGGTGTCCGAGGCTGTGCATCACACGCCAAAGTCCCCCTGTCAGGCGTGCCCTGAGGAAAGCTTGGAGAGTTTACTTCGGCGAGCTAAGCCAGGCAGCCAGGGTTGGGGAAGTTGAGCACGCGCAAGATTAGACTAGCTCGGTCGTCGCCTCTCTTAAACAGGTAGATCTACACAGCCAAATCCAGGTATGGTGGTTGCACCACGTCAACGGCACGTGTAGACAGTCTAGACCGTACTCTTGCCCCGGCCAGATTCTGGTACAAGAGCCTCTGAGCCCGTGATGCATCCGCTGACGGGAGCAATGACTCATGGTGTTGTGGTGCTCAGTCTTTGACTGTGCAGGCAAGGTTTACAGCACGCACCTGTGCAACTGCTCCTTGTGGACCTTGAAAAGCGACAGTGCTACCTGGCAGAAGGTCGGAAAGCTGCACGTCGCCACGCATGTTTGGCCAACTTAGCCAACTTTTTGTACAGATGCTTGCTTGTCAGCGCAGCTCTGTGATCTTTTGATCACCTGAGCCTGGTGCGCTTGCGTACCTATAACTTTTTTGTTTTGAATTTCATGGTGTTTCAAGACGGTGCTTCGGGGCAGTGAAATGCCACCGGTGCAAGCTAGAATCAGCTAGAAGTTCTTAACGTGCACGTGCATGCGCACGCCACCTGCGCACGCCCCACATCCACTCACACCATGTTCGATGATGCGGCGATGTAAACATGGCGCATTCCTTCTTGGTTGCGCGTTCTTGTTCGCTGCATTGTGAGACTTGTGTGATCTTGTCTGTCTCATTCTCCTCGTTATTGTGCTTATGGTGGAAACACATGAGTGGAGCATTGTCGGAACTTTTTCGCTCCAATGTTTCATCAAACGGCCAAAATCACTCGTCGCCGTCACATTTGTTCCGGCCATGTTGCCGTGGATGTAGCATGTGCAGCGCTGTGCATGTATATGTCTCATCACATCGGTTTGGGTCGAATCCTGAAAGGGGCCGACGAGTGATGCGCATGCATGCTCCTATATCCCCCTTGGGAATCTTTTTTTTTTTAATGAAAATTTTTGTTTATATAAAACCCAAGAGGATATTCAACATTTTATTTTTATTAAGGTGGTTCTAAGGGGAGAAAAAAGCTCCACTCTCTGTACCTCTTGCCATGCCGGAGCTTGCGAATGACCTTGCGCCAGTGCCATGTCGCATCTTGCAGTGACAGCTCCCCTGTGCCTAGAATCGCCTTGAGATGTTCACCCTCCCAAGTTAATTTGAGGGGACCCAAGCACCATCGAAAATCTGGATCCACCAGAACTTGAACTCGAGAAAGGCTGGGGGAGATGGTGAGGAGGGAAGTCATGTTCAAAGCTCATAGGTCCCGGAACGGGTTGAAGCATTCAATTGTATGGTCAGACTGTGGCCGTTGCGGATTTTCAGGCCTTGGCTCTTCATGGCAACCATAATTCCCTGTTGCCATGCCACTGTGCCATGCTAAAGAAACAACAAGACAAGGTGGTCTCAAAATCAACTACGTTTGCTCCCAAATCAACTACGTTTGCAAAAGCGTGAAAAATGGTCAGACTTCGGCACCTTAGATCGAAGCGTTTGTGTGTGTGTGTGTGTGTGTGTGTGTGTGTGTGTGTGTGCGGGTGGGCGGGCCTATAATGGCTGTGTGTGTGTGAACTCCCGACTCCAAGTCGTTGAAAAGCCCCGACTTTGCAGCATGTTGTAGACGCGAGCATTGAAGAGCGTGTTTGTTGGTGCAGGAATCTTCCAGGTTCTTTGGTCACGGACCCAACCCACTAGTGGTTTGATTGTTACCACCACACGCGCGACACATGTGCAAAGCGCATGCATCACACCCATGCCCACACGCATACGCACATGGGTTTCTGCTAAGCCCATCGAGAAAAGTATATCACCGCCTCGCGCCGTAAAGCCCGGAGCTGCTGAGCAGGATTTCGGGCCATCTCTGTTGCAACGGCTCCAAAAGCGAAGCCCAAAGCTTGAGACGGTCATGGGGATGGAGTTTGTTCAGACTGTTGTCCGAATACTCTTCCTACCTCACCGAATGCGGGGCATGATTTCTTGCTTTGGAGCCATTGGCAGCAGCAGCCCTTTTGACTGCATTTGCTGAAGCTCATATCGCGGCGCCTTGTTAAGCTCTGCGCCTGCGTGTCTGGAGTCCGCCATGCAGCGTGCACCCAGCTACCGTGGGACGACTCATGCTCTTCGAGTTCCAAAGCGGCTGCTGCTAGAGCGCTGTGTCAAGGAGTTGTCCAGTCTTTAATGAGAGCACTTTCATCGATCAGCTTGCGGCATCTTGCTGTGCGGCAGTGTGATTCAAAGAAGGGACTGGGGCTTGGCCTCCAGAGCCGCCTTGAGAAGAGGCTTTGGCTTGGACTTGAATACTTCGAGACATTTTTTCTTTACACTTCTCGAGAAGACAATGCAAGGGAGGAGTTTGATGCATTTTTCAAATGTTTCCAGGCATGAGTTATGGCGACAGGGCTTCAACCTTGAAATCGTCAGATGGACGTGGGGGCCCTGTCGTTTGCTTATGAAGTGACTAGTGCAATTTTTGTTCGCTTGTAGCTCATGGCCAAGTTCTAGTTGCTGGTTGCCAACTCTGTTTACGGCTCCCGAACGTCGTCCGACTATGCCCGGCTCTGCCTACCTCCCGAGGCACTGAAGCCGAGTTGCTAGCCAGCACCGCCTGGATCTGAAACCTGTGGGCAGGGGCTCGTTCAAGGGCAGCTGGCAGTCACGGGGCTGTGAGCAAAACAGCAGAAGTTGGCGCACCCCTGTAGATTTCATCGTTTGTGATTAAGACGAGGTCAGATCCCTGGCAGATGCTGATGACACATCAACTCGTCATCCCGACGTGTTGCACAAGCGTCGCAAATGTGGCGGGTCTGTTTTTCGCAAAGAAGTGGTGGCAGGGGTTTTAACAACGCTCCATGTTTGGCCCTGAGCAGCTGCACAAGTGGATGAGTCGTGGGAGAATCACGTTGTCACTGAAGAATTCGGGTCTGCTGGGTTCTTTGGAGGGCCTCTGGCATGTGTAGCTTCGACTCAACTGTCCCTAGCATCTGCTGGCCGCTGCATGCCAAAGTAAAGTTTAGCCAGTTCATCCTCACTCAGGAACAGACGGAGCAGCTGCACCGGATCCAGGTCGCACGCGACCGTGCCACCGCGCGCCGTTGTGTGATGACATCTGACAGGCCGACGCAGATGCGATTCATCACAATTTGGACCAGCAGAAGCCTCAGCAAATGGACCTCGCCTTGCCAGTTTGACACTGGAGACGCGTCAGATCGGGTGTCATCCAGGTGCCACTACCTTGAACGCTTGAGGTCAGAATGGCTCCTTCGCTCGATGAAGTCTTTTGGCTGGGCCCCGGCACCCAGAGTTTCTGCAGACTCGGCACTAAACGCTGCCATCAAACGATCTCACAAGCAACCGCCGGGACACTGGGGACTCTGCTCGGGGCCTGTCAAGGTTTGCCTTTGCCCATGGCAAAAATGTGTACTTTGCAGGTCAGAAATATTTTCCGAAAAGAGCCCAAGACCACTCGCCGGGAGCTCGGTGCTGTGAGCTTCAACGACATGGGAACTTCGGGTTTAGGATTTGAAAGAAAAAAGTGCCTCGGCCTGGGGGTCGGTTTTCAGGGGTCCCTTGGCTACCCAGGAGTCTTAGGAGTCCCAGCGGGTAGGAAAAGGTAATTCCCCCGACGACTTTGGCCCGAGGACGTCGGCGGATGTGTGGTAGAGTGGGGGGATGTGGGGGGTGTACTCAAGTGCGGTGTTGGCGAGAAAGAAGGAAGAGCCTGTACGGTACCCAGAGTGTCTGGCCTTGCAGGCCCATCGCAGCCACCTCCAGCTCCTTCTGGCAGAGCGCCAGTGCCTTGCCTCTCATACAAGTCAGAACACTAGTCTTGTGTACATTTTTGTGGGCAAGCTGTACAAGACAGGTAGAATCAGAAAAGGTTTCGTGACTTCAGGCGACGAAGCAACCTGTAGTAGTTGAGGGTACTGAGTTCCGCATGCCTTGTGCTTTTCAGTGCCTTTATCCGAATCCATCTGTCTGCACGTCCATCTATCCATCTGGTCTGTCGACTTGTCTTTAGCATCTAGCAAGCTGCGGCTCTATCCTGTCTATGCGATGTGTCTCTGCCATGTTCAGCCCTAGCAAAAAGCCTTTCTTCATGTCTGCCCGTCTGGTTGTCTACTCATCCTCTACACATCTGCTTATCTTTTCCCACGCAGAAATTTCACGCAGGCGCTCTGTGCATCTTTTTCGCCATCTACTTACCCAATCCTTTCTATCCGATGGGCCGACCTTTCTACTCTGCCCGTTGTGAGTTTTTATCAGTCCGACGAATCTGTCTGTCTTCTCTTTAATCTATTTCGTCAGCATCTATCATTCTCCCAAATTTGCTGCCATCCTGCCTTGTCTGTGTAGAAGGGACCAGAAGGGGCCTGCGTTGCGGTGATCTACATTTCCCTAGCCACGGTGCTTTGGTTTCCTGGGCATGATGGTCAGGCGAGCGGAGGATATCCTCAATCTGCTGCGCAAGCCTCTAGTGACAGTCGAGGCCACGCTCCAAGTTCGGAAAACTCTCACTCTGGCTATCAGGCCCCGGTTAAGATGTGGATGCACGATACGCATGCGAATTTAGCAGCCAGCCGACCACAAAGATGACAGATCTTCACTTGGTAGTTTTTTGAGGCTACATCCTAGCTGTCGGCACTGAGGTGCTGCGCGGCTTCTCGCCGAGGATGGAAGTTCAGACGAGGGATCACTTGCAGCCGTTGTGTGCTTTCCTGTCAGGACGCAGCACGCCGGGTACGGGGCCTCATAGGGCTACGGTGTTTGAGTCAGGCTGGTAAACTTTTGGTCCGTTGAGGCTGCGAGGAACTCGACCTCGTCAGCCAGTTCGGGTGCAGGCAGTGTAGTAATGTGACTGTCGGCCAGCTGTCGCAGCCAGGATCCCCACACTGTGCCCAGTTGAAACTCTCCAATCTCGTGAATCTCGTGCTTGTAGGTTGATTATGTCAAACATGTGGCAATTGCACTGGTGCGGCAGGTGCAGCAAGCCAGCTGAGACCAGACCAGCGGAACCAAGACTCGGAGCCGCACTCGATATTTTGCTTGCTTATGGCTTGCTTTTTAAAGCAAGCCAGTCTCGTGTTTTTGTCTTGAGACCACGCGATGCTCTGACAGGACAAAGTCTACGATCAGCCCTGCTCTTGGCATTTCTTGGTGTAGTCGCACAAGAAGACGGTACTCGCTCTGCTCATCAGCTCGAGACCGTCGGTGTCCAGCCATGTCAAGCCCATCCGAAGCCCATCCGAAGCCCATCGGAAAGGATTGACAACATGCTGGAAGGTCTCCTGGTGAAGAGCAAGGTGCTCGGAAGAGGAAATGACGGAAGCAGTAGTCCCGAGGTTTGCAACCCAAGGCCCAAAGAGAGCTATGAACTCGCTCAGGCCAGCAAATCAAGCACACCTTGGGTCACCACAATGAGCCTCAGTCTCGGAAGGGGGTCTGAGAGCCAGCTTCGGCTTCGTGGGATGTTCCCCCTTATGCTAACAGTCCTTAATAGGGATTATAGTAGGAGGTACTGTACTATAGAATCCCTATTAAGGGCTGTTAGTATAAGGGGGACCATCGCAAGTCGTACATCTCCAGAAATGGGGAGTGTCAGGATGATCCCTGAGATTGCAGAGACAGCCCCAAGCTTACCAAATCTTCTCGGGACCGGTCGCGCAGAAGCCCACTTACTCGCTTTACGGCGGAGGTCGAGAGAGATCAAGCTCGGATAAACAAGCAGCAGCGGCCCAAGATGAGGGGAAGGGAGAATCGAGTAAGAAGCTCTAAAGTAGTGCTGTGCTGAGATGTGCACAAGTCATCTCGAGTGTCAAGAGTGGCATCCGCGAGTCCGAATGCCTGAGTCAGACTCTGCTTCTTTGTGCGTACGCTCCGCCTCAGCCAAGGAAGGCCGAGATCAAAAAGAGGCAACGCGATCGGTAGAAAAAAGGTAGCATTTGGAATTGTCGGAGAAATTGAGCAGCGGATGTGCAGGATGGGGTGAGTCGCAGGAGCTGCAGTGACCGCCGTGACCAATCCATAGGTCTCACGTCCGCGTTGGTGAGGGGCCATGCGCTGAGACTGGATCGTCAGATGGCTGGTTGACTAATGCCTAACATTGCTCAACCAAAAGCTATCTAAGCCAAATTAAATGGAAAAGTGGCAACGCACTCTTGCAACTTGTGCTGCCGAATGCCCGGCTGTGCTTTGGCCAAGTCCTCCCAAGCAGAAGCCCACGGCATAGCAATCAGAGCGTAGCTCACCATCTTTTCGCAAGGCAACAACAGCATAACAAGGAGGAAAGTAAGCTGCGTGGGCTTAACTTTCACCTTGTGGCAGCTTCGTGCGAGGAACCCTTGAATGGGATCCATCCGATTCTCTCGACTCCTGTAGACAGGCTGCCGCTATGCCACTCTTTGCGTTTGACTGCCTCAACGCCACAGCCCTCTAAGAACAGGGCAGAGGAGCAGAAGGCGATGAAAAGGAGCCGCTCTGCCCACTGCAAGCACCGGGGTCTGCAGAGTCTTTTTCACGTGTGCCCGCGCCGTCTGGGTGACCGGTGCAGGGACAGAAACACATGGCACCACAAAACGCAGCCTACTCATGGCAAGAGGTCCAGGCATCCAGCGCCAATTCAATGAATCCGGCCCCTGAAGCTCATGTCATCTCCAGTAGATCCAAGTCCGAGTAATGTCTGGCCCGCGTGATGCGGCAATCACAGGTCGATGGTTCGTCAAGGCTGGAACTCCGTGAAGTGGATTTCAACATATTTCAATCAGTTTTAAGTCTTTCTCACCTCTGCTCTCCTCATTTACTCCCCCTGTCTCTTTCCTGGATCACACTGTCCTGTGGGAAGGGATGCGCTATGCAAGGCCTTTGGCGTGCAAGAGAAAGATTACGAGGCAGCTGAACCTGTGTGCAAGACATGGGCTGCAATCAGTGCTACTGGCTGAGCTACCCGCAAAGCCCGAATGGCATAATCATTGTTGAGACTAGACGCTTGCGTATGAAGATGTTATATGCTTGAGGGGGATTTAACCCCCGAAATGACACACTGCTGCATGCTACTCTTGGTTTGTCTGGGTTCTTCTGTAGTGAGCTTCCTTCACTGAACTCTGACTTTGGACACTCTTTGGACCAACAAGCGGACTCTTCAGGGGTATAACCTCGGGGGGTGCGAGCTTCGTCGGTTGGTTTCGATGCACAATTTCCTTAATTGGCATCGTTGCGAACCTGTCGCAGCATTGCGGCACCAGCCGGCAGATATGAGGCTCATGAGAGGCAGATCGCAGCACGTCGCTCTTAGTGTAGCTTTTTCCCGCATTCGAACATTTGCCTGGGGGCTGCAGCACTTGTGTGTGCGCGTGTCCATGGCGCATCAGGTTTGAACTATTGGCTAAGAGACCTGCATTCCGTGCGCTCTTGTAGCCACTTGCGGCCGCATCCATGCACTACCGCAGCGTAGATGCCGGTGGGGGCCTGGATGACTTGGAGGAGCAATCGGGGTGCCCTTCGTCGTCAGGGTTTGAGCTAAAGGTCTGAAAAGCGTACAATGCCTCTTGCCACCGATGGATTTTTAGATCAGTTGTCGCCTGCATCACGGAGTCATCCTGACCAGCTTCCCTTCCTCTTGTTCAAGACACTCCCCCAAATGTGTGGCTTGTGGCAATAATTGTATGTCATGTCTGTTGGCTTTGCGATTCCGGCAAATATCCCAAGCATCTATCGTGAGAGGTTGCGGGAGGGGTTGTGTTTCAATTGGCATTCCGTGCAACTAGCTCCGGAGTTGTATAGGCAGACTTGTTCATGCTTACTGTCGTGCCTCAGCTCTGGTCCCTTCGGCTTCTTGCAGCTTGTTTCAGAGTGTTTGACGATCGCGGGTCTGGAATCAAGATTCTTGAAGCTGTGCATGAGGAGCCCACGCAAGCCAGATCTGTGCCCTGCCGCGTCGATCGAAGGCGCACCGGCTCTTTATGGAATGGTTCCTAAGTTCACAAGGCACAAGGGTGGCAGTGGTGCTGTTTTCAGGTGGCAGGGGCCGCTGGTGCTTCTAGTCTTGGGATGCCTGGTGTGCTCATTGGCGTTCTGGGACGGTGCGGATCTTATGAAGCGCCTGAAGAGCATGAGGTGGTCTTCTTTGGTTCAAGCTTGGACACAGGGTGCAGACCACAATCAGCTGGGCACAGAGATGGCGGATGATGGACTGCTTGGAATCCCCTTCATTAAATCCATGCCAGAGGAGCCCTCGCCAGACAGCCACGTCACGAAGGAAGAAGTAGAGCTGGGAATCTCTCAGCTTGCAGTGGCCCGAGTAGATTGCTGGAACCCGTGCCACAGCAAGGCAGGCCCATGTATCTTGCATTGCATTGTCGCGGATCGAGAAAGGTCTCGCTTTCATTTGCTTCACGTGCAAGGCGGGTTGGTGCCATTGGTGCGGCCGTGGCCGTGCGTGCTGCCGGCAGGGTGCTGACGACCCTGCTGAGTGCCGCGGCTTCGGTGGTTCGTGGAGGCCAAGAGTGGGAAAGGGATTTTGGAGGGATTGCATGCTCCGCTTGCGGCTTCCCGCTAGCACTCAGGTGGCTGTTCGTAAGTTACTAGAGTGCTGTAAGATGCGCAGTTGGGCTTGACCGTTCATAACACTTGTGTCGGGTTGGGCTGTCAGAGTTGTTCAAGGAAACGGTTCAAGAAACAACCCGTCTGGATATGGGTGAAGCGTTCGGACAGCCGTGTCAGTGACAGCAGGGAGCACCCAGCGCTGTGCACCACCAGTTCTTGCCCGAATCATTCATGCAGATGATCGGCTGCAGATGTGAAGGCACGAGTGCGTCCGCATCCCATCACCTGCCGGTGGCCAGTGCAGTGTCCTGAGACCCAACGTTCTCGCACTTGGGCATGGCCGGTGTGATCCCTCACCTAGGAATTTCCTGGAAATCTTGCGAAGCATTCTTGCTGAGTTCTCGAGTTTCTTGCTCTGCAGTCCGGTGGACCTGAGGTGGAGGATACGGGTGGCAAGGATCCAGGCAAGGACCGTGAAAGATTCTGGAGATGTCAGCAACTGCTTCATGTAAGTGGCGTCATGCTCTTGACAGGCACTGCGTCCCAGGATATGCCTGCATTCCCGTAAGTCGCCACTACTCTGAGCAACTCAGCAGAGAAGCTGCAGGACACATATTTGGGTACCATGTGTACGTCGTACGTAGCATTCTTTAGCACATGGCTTGGCCTGCTACCAGAATTAGCAAGTTGAGGAAGGTCAAGCTTCTAGTTACTATAGTTGGTGTCAAGTCTTAGACAGGCCCATTCATTTATAGCTTGTGTTGAAGCATCGGAAGGCCTTCACCTCGTTGCATGTTAATGTTAGGTGAGTAGCATGCCTCGTCGACCCTGCTTATGCTGACTTATGAACAATTTCCAATTCTGCGTTTGACCTCTTCTTCTTTCGCACCTGTACGGTTGCGTCTTCGGATTTATGCATGCAAGCAAAAATGACCACCAAATAATGCCATGTGGCAACTCAGGTGTCGCTTGGCGGAAGCTGCTCGGGAGAACTGTGCTGCCCCGTACAGTGCTACTTAGATGAAAGCATGAGATCCATGATGCGTCGATGCCCTTCGGCTTGCTGATGCCATGTGCCATCCAGCGATTCCAGGTTTGCGGGGGCTGGTACGACAATGCTCCGTGGGAGAACTGCTGTGCTGATGGCCACCAGTGTGCTCAGATAAGCGTTGGCCTGGGACTGAAGGCGCTGACTTTGGTAAGCTGGGCGCCCCAGAGTTTCCACACTTGTGTCTTGACACCACACAAGCCCAGTGAAGGCCTCAAAATGCGTGCCTCTGTCGCTCCTACATGCTGGGCAGTCTTGCATGGCCCACTGCCAGGCCAGCCTGCCACATCATTATCAACATGACTGAGATGTGTTTATAGAAAAACACATACATACATATTTTAAGGGGCTGCGCCCATGGGCGGGCAGCGCACGCAGAAGCCTGGGGCGAGCAGTTTCTAAGCATGTTGAGGCCCCTAAACTCCCTTAAAATCTCTAAGCGCTAAGTTTCTAAGCATCTTCAGGCCCCTAAACTCCCTTCAAATCTCTAAGCGTTTGAGGCTCCTAGACTCCCTTAACGTTTCTAAGCACTTTATAAGGCCCCTAAACTCCCTTTTTCCTAGCCCCGGGCTTAGACACGTCGCTTATGCCCGCCCTTTGGGGGGCATCATGCTCCCGATGCGCCCCCGGGGTCCCGCCCCGGGAGCCGCTGATGCTCCTGATGCGCGCCTGGGGGTCCCGGGCTGGACCCGCTGATGCTCATGATGCGCGCCCTCTGGGGGCCTCCGTGGCGATGCAAAAAACCACGAAAAAAAAACCGTTCACCGGCGGCACGCGGGGGTCGGCGGCACTGGCGTCTGGCCTAATTCTGCTTCGCAGAAGGCCAGAGGCCAGCAAGGCTATTCCCGGGACGACCCGGGCTAAAAGGTCCGCATTTGCTCGGTCCTTTGGGGACCTCGCGCTGCCCGATTTAATGGCTACCGCCAATGCCGCCGACCCCGACAGGAGGCCCTAGGGTTTACACAAACACCCCCTACATTGCGCTTACATATATCCATAGGTTCTAGAGTTCAGGGGGGGCGAAACATTGAGTTCACGCGCAGGGAGTTGGCGCGCAACCTTAAACCCTAAACCTCACACCTTAAACTCGAAACCCTGAACCCTTAAACCCCAAACTACTGAACCCTCAACCCCCTTAACCAGGAGAGCCGAACCGGGGTGAGGTGGGGGGTAAGCGGTGATGGCGGGGGGGTGGGGGGGGGTTGGGGGCAGAGGTGAAGGGGTGAAGGTGGGGCGGGGCGGCGGGGGGGGGCGGGGGGGGGCGGGGGGGTTCGGGCATGCACTGGAGCTTCAGTGCATGCCCTTTCCGGCCCCCTGTTTGCCCGCCCACTGCCCCCAACCTTGGCCTCTGCCCCCTAACCCCCCCCGCCCTCACCCCTCACCCCCCCACCTCACCCCTACCCCTGACCTTTTACTGGAAATGAAGTGTGTACTTGGAATTGAAGTGTTTTTGAGGGGCCCCTCACACTTCATTTCCAGTAAAGGCAAGGGTAGGGGTGAGGTGGGGGGTAGGGGTCGGCATGCCCTCAAACCCTTGAACACTTCATTTCCGTGGGGGGGGGGGCAAGGTTGGGGGCAGAGGGCGAAGGGGGCGGGGTGTGGGGCGGGGTGGGCGGGGGGGCGGGGGGGGGGGGGCGGGGGGGGCTGGGGGGGTCCGGCAATGCACTGGAGCCCCTCAAACACTTCATTTCCAAGTAAAAAAGTAAAAGGCAAGGGGTAGGGGTGAGGTGGGGGGTAGGGGTCCGGGCATGCCCTAAACCCCTGACACACTTCATTTCCAAGTAAAAGGTCAGGGGTAGGGGTGAGTGGGGGGGGCAAGGTTGGGGGCAGAGGCGAAGGGGTGAGGGCAGTGGGCGGGGTGGGCCGGGGGGGGGCGGGGGGTCCGGGCATGCACTGGAGCCCCTCAAACACTTCATTTCCAAGTAAAAGGCAAGGGGTCCGGGCATGCCCTAAACCCCTGACACACTTCATTTCCAAGTAAAGGTGGGAGGGGTGAGGTGGGGGGGGCAAGGTTGGGGGCAGAGGCGAAGGGGTGCAGTGGGCGGGGTGGGCGGGGTGGGCGGGGGTGGCCGGGGGGGGGGGGGGGGGGGGGGGGGGGGGTCGGGCAGCACTGGAAGCCCCCAAACACTTCATTTCCAAGTAATAAAGGCAAGGGGTCCGGGGTTGCCCTAAACCCCGACCAGTCATTTCCAAGTAGGGGTGATGGGGGGGTCTACGGTTGGGGGCAGAGGCGAAGGGGGTGAGGGCAGTGGGGGGGGGGGGGGGGGGGGGGGGGGGGGGGGGGGCGGGGGGGCACTGGAGCCCCTCAAACACTTCATTTCCAAGTAAAAGGCAAGGGGTCCGGGCGTGCCCTAAACCCCTGACACACTTCATTTCCAAGTAAAAGGTCAGGGGTAGGGGTGAGGTGGGGGGTAAGGGGTGAGGGCGGGCGGGGTGGGGGGCTGTGGGGGCCAACATGGGGTGAGAAGGGGGGAGGCGGGGGGGCAGTGGGCGGGGTGGGCGGGGTGGGCGGGGGGGGCGGCACTGGAGCCCCTAAAACACTTTTCCAAGTGTAAGGTGAGGGGGGAGGTGGGGGGGCATGCGCTGGAGCCCCTAAGAGGGTAAGGGTGAGGTCGAGGGGGTGAGGGCGGGGGGGTTTGGGCATGAGGGCAAATGGGTCTTCACTGACGCCTCCCCCGCTAAAGCAGGGGTCGGCGGATATATTTATACATATATATGTATATACACATGTTAGTTATGGCTGTGTTATGTCAGTGCTCTGCCTGTCCGCCTTCAGGGCTCAAAGGTCTGAGGCGGCAACACTTGGGAGCTGCCTTTGGGTGTTGCTTCCGAAGTTGGGGATGCCGGTGGGTTCGGGTAGGAAGCACAATTGTATCTGCCTGTGGCGCGGCTCTTTGCCGTGAGGGTTGCGGGAGGAATGCTCGCCCTTTTTCTCTCTCAAACTTGGATTTCCAGGGGCCTCCAGAGGGGCAAGTTAGTAGCCAGTGCACACATCACCGGGCTCTGGGAGGAGGGTAGGGACGAGATCTCCCGATCTCAGCATATCTCAGCGCTGGTCGATCGGACGCCTCGGTGAATTTAGATATGTTGCTGTCGACCCAGGGTCACTTTGAGGGGGATGGCGACAGCTGCTACACATGGACATGTAAGAAAAGAGCTGGTTAATTCAGGTTACTGGATGCGCCACCCCCAATCAGATGCTGGCATGTTGCTCTGAGAATGGCATGCTGACCAGGCAGCCGGCGAGTGCGCGTGGTGTGGAGCAGGAAACGCATGCTGCTCACGTAGTGGAAAAGGAGGACCGATCGAGTGCAGAGATGCTCAATTCCTCACCTTCGAAACTTTCCAGTGCGTGGCATCCAAGTATTCGCCCACGGTGAAGCATTGGGGACAAGAGTGTCTGCCACATTGCAGAGGGCCTGGAATGTGCAACTGGTGTGGTGAAGGTAGCGCCTGCTGCAGGGAGGGTGATGCAGGTGATCCCCGAGAGTGTCATGGTGTGCGGAGCTTTAGCAGGTCCGATTCGCATGTTTGCGTCCGGCCCGTACAGAAAGTATTTGAGGACCACGTGCAGCAAGACTGCTGGCAGCCTTGTGATAAGGTGCCGGGCTATTGCTCGTGGTGTGGTCAGGGCATGGCGTGCTGCCGGAAAGGTGCCCAAAATGATCCATACGAGTGCCATGGAGTGACGTCCTTCAGCCGGCACGATCGCCACGTATGTGTTCTGCCCCTCTCCGCGAAACCTCCCAGTCTGCTGTCTGCAAGTTCTTCGATTGTCAACCACGTAGGAAAGGACTGTTGGTATGAGTGCGGCGGATCTGGCTTTTGCAGCTGGTGTGGAGCTGGCAACGCTTGTTGCAGATTTGGTGCGCACTTTGACGCGGAGGAGTGTAGTGGTGCCACTGACTTCAGCTCAGTTCAACATCATGTTTGTGTGGCAGTGCCTTCGATCATCAACAAGGCCAGATGGGCGAGTTATTTCGGATTTTTGGAAACCTTCCTCCCTTCACGTGCCCTGAGACCCGATCTCCCAGTGAGGTCCTGATCGCGGTTGTTTGGCATATAGCTAGGCGAACTTAGGCTAATCGCATGACACTAGCGCCCCGTTCTCATGCTCAAACGGCGGGATGCGCATCAGAGACAGATGAGATGAGGTGCAGATTTCTTCACAGCGGATTATCTTCAATGGTCGTGAGCTTGGCGCAGGGGGGAAAGTTCGGGGTGTTGCAGGGACCGGAACTCATGCAGAAGAGGCATCGGACGCTGGGGTTGATGCCATCCGCACCTGGTCCCTACAGCAATCCGTGGGGGCTCTGAAGACTCTGAAGGCCTTGAAGGCTAAGGGCCAGGGCCGTGAGCTCAAGGTGGCTGCCGGTATCTACTTGTCGACTTACAAAGATAAGTATGAGGGCGAGTTCTGCAAGCTCGACCATGCCTGGTGGAAGGAACAGCTGCGAGAAATTCTGTCCAACGTCACCATGCATCGCAACGATCCGGGGCTTTTGTGGTGGCAGGCTGGTAATGAGCTGGAGCTTCAGACAGACTGGGCTGGTGGCTCCGAGTGCATGTGGCGCCGCTTAGAGTGGGTGGTTCGACATATCAAGGTGGCCGACCCGAACCACCCGGTTGGCACGGCAATCGCTGGGTTCCATGCAGCCGCTTGAGCTAAAATTGTTGAGCAGAGCTGGAGTATACACATATACATATGTGCATATGTTATGTATATGTGAGTCCTTGCAACCTACTCGCAAAGCGAATGGGTACGCAAACACCTGCATTTGTAGTGTAGCATTAGCGCTATTCATCAAGTTTCATCGGCCGGTTCATCGGAACAGCAATACGACTACGTAATGTATGCTATGTTAATCAAGTCAGCTCAGCATCTTGCAGTGGTTTACTTGGGGGAGTTAGTGGAATTGAGAGTATCAGCCGATAAGTTCTATTGGGTAAATCGCTGAAAATGGTCGGGAGAAGGAGTGCTCCCCCGCCACCACACCCCTACAGCATATTATTGCATGCTGCATCGGGACATGGGGGGTCTCTGTGAGGTGAAAGTTGGCCGCATCAATAGCCTGTGCCCCTCCTTGGATTTTCTTGGCCTCAATGTCTACGGTGGGGATGCCTACAAGATACCCCAGAAGCTCTGGAGCGCTGGCTGGACAAGGCTGGACCTTGAAAACTCCACATTGCCACAGCTTGTTTGCATCAGCTGAAGTCAGTATCCGACTCACCGTGCAGGCCATACGCTATCACCGAGTTTGGTGCTGCGGGCGCATGGATGGTACCCCGAAGCCCATGGAAGGCTGTGGCTGCAGTGCTTTCAGAGTTCGTTGCGGCACTGCCAAACTTTGCTGGGGCACGCCACGTGTTTTTGTTTATTGCAGATCATAGCACCCGAAAGGACTTCAGCTAGCTTGAATGTTGTAATTTGTAGTGCTCCATGAAGCATTGCTAAAGGCCCAAAGTCTGCCTGGAACATTTGCACAAGCTTGTGTTACAAGTTGCGATCTCCGAAAAGAGACAGGACCCAGGAGAATCCGGTACCCCTGTAGGATTCTGTAAGCGCAGGAGAGGAGGCGTGAACGGATGTTTGGACCCGATCGAGTAGAGCACAGACAGTCGCCCTCATGAGCTATGCAAGAGATCGCAGCACGTGTCACAAGAATTTGAGCGCAAATGCATGCGGAGAGGAGCAATTGAAATTGTCCATCGCACAAGCAGGAGGCTACGCGCTACGAACGAGAGTTGATCGAAAGGTCCGTGTCTGTGTCTGTGCGTGCACTTGTTAAAACATGTAAGACGTCATCCTCGCCGAAATTGAGGACGAGGATCCGCGAAGGTGCTGCCGCAATAGACTGTGTATGCCTAGCCCTATAGTGCGAAAGAAGCCACGACAGTCGCGCTTCCTTTTCGGCCACGGCGCAAGTCTCAAACCCACACTCCAAACCTCACGAGCCCTCAACCCTCAACCCCAAACCCAGACATCCGCGAACCCTGTTTTACCTCCACGAACCCTCGTTCAACCCCAAGCAAAGTCCGAACGACGCAATTTGATCAACCCCGGCCATGATGTGTGAAGACCTGCGAGGCGCCAATGGAGCCAAGCTCTACACAGTGGCTTGTTCACATTCGCCCAGGGAGTGCTTTGTAACGTTTTATATGCAGGTGCATGTAGAAACGGAGGGCCTATTTTTTTGGTATTTTTTTTTTTTTTTTTTTGGTGGTCTCCTGGTCCCGTGGTCCCCTGGTCTGCTGGTCTCCTGGTCTCCTGGTCCCCTGGTCTCCTGGTCTGCTGGTCCCCTGGTCGGCTGGTTTCCCGGTCTGCTGGTCTCGTGGTCTGCTGGTCCTGTGCTTTTTCGGCCCGCGGTCTCTCGGTCCTCTGGCGCCCTTTCACGGGTCCTCCTGGGCCTCTGAGCCTCCTGACCCTATAGTACGTAAAGTAAATTTTGCAAAGATAAACACATGTATACAGTATAATATGATATTAACATATTAATATTAGTATATTAATATACATTAATA